GGGATCTGGGCTAGCGGCATTGAAAAGTGGGACGGCCACGCGCGCTACGAATCTGGGGTGCATTGCTGACCGTTCTTCCTTCTGGGACTCTTTTAACGCGTCCATGCTTTCCGCGAAGCTTTTCTTCCTTGCGTCTTCCTCGTGGCTTGGCTCTCCTGCTTCCTGATTTCTCTTGGACCTTGCTACATCTCTTTCGTACAGACTTCTGCATCCGGATGCCAGTCGTTTGAGCTTGTGTTTCCGTCGTTGTCGTCGTCCTCGTTCTCGCCGCCGCCTCCGCTTTCGCCGCACAGGTACTCCTCACGTGGAATTACTTTTCGCCTCCAAGATGCCTATATGGGACCCTCTCGTTCCTGCTGAGCGGGCAATTCAGCGCGGTCTGGCACGTCTCCCGCCAGCCGTGAGCCATTGGTTCGGGTACCGACCACAGAACTTACCTCCATCCCGTACATGGCTTGTCTGCATGTGGGGATTCATCGGCGCTTTTTGCGGACTGAGCACTATCTTGGCTATTTTTGGACATACGGACTACTTTAGAAGCCGCGCTGTACCACCTATCATCGCTTCATTTGTAAGTCATTCTTCGCTTTCTTCTCCCGTGCGGTTTAGGGTTGCAATGAGACAATGAGGAAGAGGTGGATTTCAGAACATAGGATCGGACACGAGAACACGACTCACAAAGTATTTAAAGCTGACCATATTCTCCAAAAGGGTGCTTCAGCGATCCTCTGCTACGGCGCTATTGATGTACCTCTTGCTCAGCCACGTTCTCTGGTCTTTGGCCACTTCTTCAGTGGCCTAACTGGCGTCATCATCGCCACAATTTTCCAGTTTAATCTTGAAACTGAGCCTTTTCCTCGTCTCCAATGGCTCGCAGCTTCATTAGCAACAGCCATTGCGTTGGTCGTCATGCATCTCACAAAAACAACCCATCCACCTGCAGGCGCAACAGCGCTGCTTCCCTGCGTCGACCCGCACATCTGGGCTCTGAGGTGGTACTACCTACCCGTGCTGCTACTTAGCTCGACTATAGTGCTGGTGAGCGCGGTGCTTCTTATGAATGTGCAGAGGCAGTATCCAAAGTTCTGGGTTGCGCAGATTCCACCAGCCCCAGCTGCGGAAAAGAAAGAAAAGAGTGTGGTCGAGAAGAAGGCGAATGCGCTGAATGAGGGCTCGGAGGATGGTAGTGCGCGAGACACGTTGCAAGACATGGAAAGAGGACCTTTGTGATTTATCAACTATCGTAAGTCTATGACGTTTCTCGTATCTAAGTAAATGACAACCTCTGTCTCGTGCTTCTATGCATTGAGCAGCAAGTGCTGTCAGTCCAATGTAAATATTAATGAAAAAGCGAACATTATTACTGCATAGTTGCGACAAAGAAAAAACCCAACTCGTGACGCGTCAGCCTCGTTACTCTCATGATCATTTTCGTCGTCAATGTAAAAAAATAACCGAAATTTTTCAACTCACTTAAACCTGTTGCATATGAATCGTCTTTGCAATGCTCGGCACGCCCTTTTCACTAACTCCGAAAAGATACCACATGCCCGGCAGCATAACGCCCTGGTCGTTCAAGATAGGCAATGTAACCTTGTCACCATCGACTTTTGGCTCGAGCGGCACACGCCTCTGATCAGTATTGATACTATGCGTGACGCTTCCAATCCGAATCAGAGAAAAGGAAACACCCTTGGCACCTCCCTTCATCGTGACTTCCAGCTGCCCACCCGGCGCAACCTTCGCCGAAGCAACCTTCTCGATAACCGGTCTCGGCGCACCGGTAGTAAGATATGGCGGTGTAAAGATCTGACCGTTAGGATGATCAACAGTATTGCGACACGGCTCCGACACCCTCCCCGAGCCATCATCCCAGCAGAGTCCACCACCACCCGTAAACACGGTTCCATCCGGTAGCAGAATGGCTACAGAATGGTAGTTTCTCGGCACGACCTCCGGAGCCAACTCAGTGAACGTACGTGTCGCCGGATCGAATAGTTCAGGATGGAAAACCGGTTCCAAGTCAGTGAAGCCTTCGGCTACACCTTGACCTCCCGACACCAGTATCTTGCCATCCGGCAGCACAACCACATTCGCAAAGACCCGCGCGTGCTTCATATCCGGTAGTCTCTGTACCTTTGCCTGAGCGCCCACTTTGTCGATTTCTATCATGTGCGCCACGCGCAGACCGGGCGCTTGGTAGTAGTACTGTGCTCCGCCCGCTGTAAAGATCTTGCCGACGTCGTACATGACGTTCACACCGCACATGTTGTCGTTGGCTGGATTGCGTATTCCGGCGGGCTTGACGTCGCCTTTGCCATCGGTATAGTACCAGTTCATTGCTTTGCTGGGGCCGGCCTGGAAGACGGAGCCGTTGCGCCAGGGGAAGAGCCATGCGTGGTTGTCTTCACGGTAGACTCCCTCATGGTCGGTTGTCAGCATCGGTTTTACTGCTGCTCCCGGGAGAATCTTCCAAGTATTCGCTTTGGCGTCGTAGAGTTCGCCAGTTTTGCCGCCGACGGGGCCGCTCCAGGAGCCGCCGATTGCGAAGATGTTGCCCGTGGAGAGGATGGTGCTGGAGTGGTAGCCGCGCGGGATATTCATGTCGGGTCCGGGGACGAATTCGTTGCTGAAGGGGAGGTAGAGGCTGGTTTTTTCGGCGTTGGCGCCGCCGCTCACGACGAGGCGGCCGTCGCCGAGGGAGCTGATTCCTGGGCAGAACATGTCGTGTTTTGTTTCTGATACTGAGCGTTTGGAGACGGTACCGTTGATTAGGTTATACTCTGCGAATTGCGTGATGCCGCGTTGGCCGCCGAAGGAGTTGGGGGAGAAGGCGGAGAAGACGAGCATTCGTGTGGGGGATGGGTACTCAGGGACGATGTATGCGGCTACGGGGATGATGGGGAAATCTATGACTGGACTCCATGATCCTAGGGCGTCTTTGTTATCTTGAGGTGGTGGAGTGGTTGGCTTTGAGGTGGTTGATTGCGCAGCCGCATTCGATTGCGCGGTTGTGGCGCAGAGGAAACATGATAGTATTACTACCGGTTTGCGAAGAGAAGAGAGCATTGCGAATATATCATGCGGCTGCTATTTAGCCAAAGAATTCACAAAAAAAAGGAAAACCAAGGCCAAGCTGCTGGCTGCGAGGTAAAGAGACTGGGATGAACGAAGTTGAGATAAATCTGCTTTCCTCCATTTGACGTGTATTACCCTTTGCTTTATACTCCTCGGGGATCATCATGAAAAAAGAAAGGTAAGGGTCATAGTGTGGCACTCAACAACAACTGCCACCAGCCTCCTTATTTCCACCGTCGTTGGCATGAGCACTAAATCGTGCCGTTGTATCAGCCAACCTAGTTCCAAAAGCAAGAAATCATTTTTGGGAAATCAAGGAAACAAACATATGCGTATCTTCTTTTTGGTTTATTAGTGTTTAGGGGAGCTTTTAGCTGACTTGTTTGAAAAAAGTAAGATGTCTGGGTTATGCGCGAGATTCCAGAAACAAGCTGGGACCGTATGCCGGCGTGAGACTGTTCGCAGTCCCAACGGTACAGATTACACCTGTCGGATCTCTCGGGAGATTTTCACGTGTCAGATAGGTGGTAAGTACTGTATGGTATATCCTTGTCCTGTTATTTGAGATGCGATGAATTGACATGTATGGAAACAAGGAAGCTTGAGTAGTAGGACAACGTTTATCAGTCTTAGGGGGACTACTGACCACCATGCGACTTGGTCCAAGCGTAATGCGTGGATGGTTGATGGGTTTCCATTTGCGAGTCTATACTGAAGCAAATTTTGTGGTCTTTTGAGGCATCGGGGTTTGTAAAGGATGCAAGACGGCGGGACCAGTGAATTACATGTATGCGAGTGCTGTTCTGAGAAAAAATAGAAAGATAAGAGACGTTGTCTTATAGCTCGATGCTTGAGACCGCCTAGTTGGAACTAGTAAAGAAGCAGTGAATGCTTCCTGAGTGATCAGAAATGCTACATTAGTTTTCCTTACCAAAAACTCCTAGTTAATAAATTGGAGCCATGTTTGGTTACTTTTACTCGTTCTCTTGGGTTCTTTCCCTTCTTTCGCTTTACTTCGTGGTGGTTTCGGCGACTGAAAACAACTTTAGACAATTGAGGTGATAGATTGGAAATCGACTTTGGGCGGAAAAGACTGTAAGAGTTCAGTTGGTGCTGGTGCTGATGCAGACCAAACGTAAGCATGCTCACGACAAATGCACGAATTTTGCTATCACGTATTGAGGCAACAATCTGTATTGGTGTGATCACAAACACTTGATCCAGAACAGCTATAAATACTCGCAACATGAATCTCATTGACGCGTACTATTGGTTATCTGTGCTGGGTGGATATCTAGACGTTGTAAGTCTGGAGGCACTACGTAATATGGAAGTTTCAGCGCAACATTCGAGACCCAGGTACATATGCTCCTTTTTCTGAGACTATGTCCATCTAGAGATGATGTATCTGTACACACATATCGTTTTTCTAACCAATGCTAGTGGTATGTTGTCTGTATTAATCATCTTTGCTGGATACGAGCTTCTCGTGCCTGGTGGATTGCAAGATGGGTCAACAAGGAGTTTTACGACAAATACGCATGTTTGGATGTTTCATTAAGGGGCTGTACGAGAGATGCGCAAGTTTCGACTGTTTTGATGAGCCGCTTTACGAGATACGCAGGTCCTGAAGGCGCAGCGCTACAGGATCAAAGCATCTGGACTAAGGCCCCGCTTATTTGTGGCTGTGAGACTATGGTCTTTTCCCTGCGACAAACTGGCAGCCAATCATGTTCATAGTTCCCCGAACCCCCGTGTCATTGCGCATGCGCATCACCCATGCCCGCATTAGAGGCTTCTCATTCTTGTAGTTCCAGGAGAGCGCCGATCGCAACAGCCTCTCTTTATCTCTCCTACTCTCCTATCATTCTTGTTTTGTGACTCTTTCATGATCAACCTTTCTCTAGCCCTATAGTTACGCCATGTCGAGTTCAAAGGGCCTCGCCCAGGGCAATGACGTTACTACTCGCGATACAGCCCCACCATCACAGCAATCATAGTGAGTATCGTCAGCTTGAAAAAGAATTCATAATTTACGCTGACGTTGTTGAAAGCGAGCATTCGAGCTCACGGCCAAATGCCGATAATGCACACCTCAGCAACATAACGTCACCAACCGTTGAAGAGGCTCCCCCTGCATACAGCGAACTTCCAGGCCAGGTCGAAAACGAAGAGCTAGGGACAAACGCCGTTGTAGCGGAGGATGGACGTGTGAATATCCGAATAGACCAAAAGAGCCATACCCTTTCACAGCTCATTCTTCCGCAAATCCAACGTCAGCTTACGCATGCGCAAGAAGACCCTGAGCCTCCTCCGCCTTACATTCCAGAGTTTCTTGGCGGAGCGCCAGGCCAACAGCCACCACCTCCACTCAACCTCGTCATACAGGTCGTGGGGTCGCGAGGCGATGTTCAGCCCTTTGTTGCCCTTGGCAAGGTACTCAAGGAGACGTATGGTCACCGAGTACGACTAGCGACACATCCAACGTTTAAGGACTTTGTGACCGAAAATGGACTCGAGTTTTTCAGTATCGGCGGTGACCCGGCTGAGCTCATGGCCTTCATGGTGAAGAATCCGGGTTTGATGCCAGGCTTTGATACGTTGCGCAGTGGTGACATTGGCAAGAGAAGGAGAGGCATCGCAGAGATTCTGAGTGGAACATGGAGATCCTGCATAGAGACCGGCAATGGTCTTGGTGTGGACCCTCTCCAGCAAACAGTGGAAGAGTGGATGGGCATAGAAGAACAGCTACCAGAGCAGCTTCGAAAACCGTTTGTTGCTGATGCCATCATTGCAAACCCCCCAAGTTTCGGGCACATACATTGTGCTGAAAAGCTAGGGATTCCACTCCATATGATGTTCACGTAGGTTTAGCGACAGGGCCATGATGCGCATATACTGAATTTAAGACAGCATGCCCTGGTCACCTACACAACAGTTCCCACATCCACTCGCAAACATCCAGTCTACGAATGCGGACGCTACCATCACGAATTACATGTCATACATCATGGTTGATGTATTGACCTGGCAAGGTCTTGGAGATGTCATCAACAGATTTCGCAAAGATAGTCTTCGCTTGGACCCAATCAGCGCTGTCTGGGCGCCAGCTATGCTCGCAAGACTCAGAATTCCCTTTACGTACTGCTGGTCACCAGCACTGATTCCGAAACCAAGAGACTGGAATCACCACATCTCCATTGCAGGCTTCTACTTCCTCAACCTTGCTTCCAACTACACGCCAGACCCGGATCTTGCATCGTTCCTGGACGCAGGAGAGCCCCCTGTCTATATCGGATTTGGCTCAATCGTTGTTGATGACCCAAATGCCATGACCAAGATGATTTTCGACGCAGTCAAGATTACTGGGAAACGAGCATTAGTGTCTAAGGGTTGGGGTGGACTTGGAGCCGATGATATTGGAAAACCTGATGGTGTGTTCATGCTTGGAAACTGCCCCCATGACTGGCTGTTCAAACGCGTCTCGGCTGTTGTACACCATGGTGGTGCTGGTACCACAGCAGCTGGCATTGCTACTGGAAAACCTACAGTTGTTGTACCCTTTTTCGGAGACCAGCCTTTCTGGGGAGCCATGGTAGCACGTGCCGGTGCTGGGCCTGACCCCATTCCCTACAAGGACCTCACTGCGGAGAAACTCGCAGCAGCTATTCTGGAGGCGCTGAAGCCTGAAACACTCGACCGGGCCCAGGAACTTTGCGACAAGATCAAACAAGAAAATGGAACCCAGAATGGCGCCCAGTCCTTCCACCAGATGCTTAATTATGATGAATTGCGATGCGCAGTCAAGCCAGGCCAACCCGCTGTATGGAGAGTCAAGCGCACAGAAGTCAAGTTGAGCGCCGTAGCAGCTACGGTACTGGCTCAAGAAGGTGAAATTAATTTCTCTGAGATGAAGCTGTAAGTCCTTTGTGTGATCCAGTGATTTCCTTGATTGATAGTTTTAGCTTCCGTCCTCGTGAATACGTTCCGGATGAAGGCCCTTGGGACCCAATTACAGGTGCCGCGGGAGCTTTGATGGGAACGGCAACTTCAATGATGATGGGCGTTGCCGACATGCCTATTCAGACCCTTAAACTTCTGCATATACACCCCGACGGTAGGTCTAAGAAGGGTAAACAAAAAGCAGCAGGAGGTGAATCCACTTCTCAAAGCAATGGGAGTGGCAGTGGAAGCGTAGCAAGAAGTGTGGCAGCTGAGAATGAACGTCCAAGTCGAAGCGAAAACACTACGCCTACGGCAGCTGATGCCGCTGCCGACCTGGCAAGGATTCAAGCCGGCAACCCGGCAGTCAAAAGCCCAGGCTCACCCGGTACGCCTTCACATAGATCTGAATTTATGTCTCAAGCGTTTTCTGAATCTGCTCAAGGTTCGCGTTCGCGCTCTAGAGAGCGTGTCGGCTCCAACTCGGGATCTCGCTCGATCACCGCTTGTAGTAGCGGACAACGACATGGATTAACGGAGAATATCGAGTCTACTGTAGACACCGGGAAGGGTTTGGCACGCATCATCAGTGCTGGTGTCCAGTCACCTATGGACTTTTCATTGAATGTTGCTAAGGGGCTCCATAACGTACCAAAACTCTATGGGGCAGATGTTCGCCAGGTTGACAAAGTCACTGACTTTCAAAGCGGCATGCGCACAGCTGCTAAGGTATTGAGAACCCGGAATTGCTTGTTTGTGCTTTGCTAACTTCGAAACAGGAATTCGGGTATGGGTTGTACGACGGCATCACAGGTCTTGTAACCGATCCATACAAAGGTGCCAAGAAAGAAGGCGGTATCGGCTTCGTCAAAGGTGTTGGTCAGGGTATCATGAGCCTGCCATTCCGTGTTATGGGCGGTGCATGGGCAGTACCTGGTTACGCAATGAAGGGCCTTTATCAGGAAGCCGTCAAGAACAAGGGGCAAAATGTGCAGAACTACATCATCGCTGCACGAATTGCACAGGGCTACGAGGAAGCCTCAACAATCTCTCAGAAGGAGCGAGATGAAATCGTCACGAGATGGAAGGGTATGAAGGGCAGCATCAAGAAGAAGAGGAACGTTGGTGCTGAGCAAATGGACTCGCTACATTCGCTCGTGCAGCAAAAGAGAGACCGGAAGAATGAGCGGACGGCAAGGCTCACCTCACATGCCAATGCTACCAGTGGTCAGCCTCTTATTCAGAGTAATCTGGCTCAGCAAGATAGCCTCCTGAGCCAGTATCCTGTTCCACCTAGAAGGCATGATGTTGAACCCGAAATCCGGTCTACAATTCCCAGCTGGCGCCAACAGGAAGCTGAGAGAACACGCGCTCTCCGGCGCCAGGGCACGCCTGCTACCGGAAGCCAGACAAACGACTCGCCTCAGCAGACACAAGCCGAACTCGAGGCGCAACTCAGGGCCGAAGAAGAAGAAGACCAGCGTGAACTAGAGCGAGCAATCGCAGCCTCGGTCGCCGAAGCATCTCGCGGCAACCCCGAAGAAGACCAGTTGGTCGCATCAGCCATCCGTGCCTCAATCGCCGAACTTGAGCGAACTAATGCATGCACTAATCCCACCCAACAAGAAGAAGAGGAAGCGATCCGCCGCGCCATGGCCGCCAGCATGTCGGAAGCCGGCAAAAAGGACGTGACGGAAGAAGAGCAAAAGATGCTCGAAGAGACATTACGCCGCAGTCTCCTCGACACAAGACCATCCCGCAAACACGGCAGCGACTCAGAATGGGATTCAAACTCTGATGATACGGACCAAGACGAGGACTACCAACGCATCATCGCAGAGTCAAAAGAGCTCGCTCATCTCCATGCTAACTACCCAGAAGACTACGCTCATACCGCACACCTCGCACAACTAGCAAAGCAGAAAACGAGTGTCGTGAGTGGAGTTGATACCCCTGTCGACGGCCAAAGTACCCGCTTGGGCAGTATAAGGACAGGTAAAACGGATCGCACATCTCACATTCCTGATGAAGACGAAGACGAAGAACTGAAGCGTATACTGCGCGAAAGCGAGCAGGCTGAACAAGAACGCGTGGAGAACGCAGCGAAGCAAAAGACAGAGGAAGAAGTCGTGCTCGAGTACGTGCGCAAGCAGAGTTTACTCGAGGAGGAGCATCGACGACGGATGCTGGAAGGACGAGCAAATCCCGGGTCGCAAGCGTAGTTGGTTTGCACCAGGGGATTCCGACACACAGCCGAGAAGTTGAAGTCAGGGGGAAGGAAGAAGACGATGTCCCTGTAATGATGCCCTAATACCAACAATTCTATCTCTATATATACAACCTTTACCCAGGCGCCGACCCCAACCCCGTCAAAACCCTCAACCCCCACGCCCACCACCCTTCCCTCTCCCCCAACACGCCATCAAGCTCCTTCAACCTCCCCTCCACAAACTCGACCTGCCGCTCAAACTCCGCCACCACATCCTCTACATCCTCGACTTTGCCTCTTAAGGCGCTAATTTCATACTCGAGCTTATCTCTTACATTCTCGAGTTCGCGTAGGCTGGTAGTGAGTAACGCACGGTTATTCGTAACCATAGCATGCGTATCCTCGCGAAGGGAATGATACGTATCGAGTCTAGGGTAGTAAATCGACTCTAGAGTCTCTATATCCGCGTCTACAGCCTGCACTAAGCCGATGATTTCTGCGACACGGGAATCGACCCAGTCCTGGTCTTTTTCTGATACCTGAGCGAGGGTGTGGTGCAGGCGTTTGAGTTGGGTGGAGTGCATGTTTTGGAGGGCGGAGCGGGCGGCCAGGGCGGTGACGGAGGAGGGATCAAGGTCTTCTGTGGCTGCTAGGGCTTCTTCCTCGTCAGGGGCGCTGGTGCTAGGGGCGATGGGGGGCCAGCGGAGGATGGACTCTTCGGCTGTGCTGAAGGAGAGGTGGCGGGGCCACCATTCGTTGTGGCGGGGTGGGCGGACGAGGTCGAATTGGGAGCCGGATTGGGTGCGGCGGAGGAGAGGGGGGATGATGTTTGCTTCGGAGACGGGGAGGCAGGTGAGGTCGATACCGTGATAGGTGGAGCCGGCGAGGGAACTTGCTACTGTGGGAGGCTGTTCGGGTTGTTCGGGCTGCTCGGATGTGTCGCTTTCAACTATTGAAGTGCGCAAGGCTGAGGCGTGACGGCTACCGACTGATCGGTGGTTATGGAAGGAGGTGACGGATTCACCTGGTGTCTCAGTTAGGACTTTGGCAAAGGCGGGTTCTTCGCCGGCCATGCTCCGGGGTGATATGATTGAATATGGGTCGTCTGAATGGCTCTCGTACTCGATCGATGTGCGAGAGTCTGTGTATTGTAGCGGCACACTGCCACTTTTGGTGCGATGTAGCCCATGTCGTCCGTGTTCATCTCGGGAAAGCTTGGTGGCGTGGGTGCGGAGGCCAACAGCATTTTTGATATGGTGAAAACCGCCAGACTCTAGCTTGGCCTTGATAGCGGCTCGCTTCGAAGAAGGGTCTTTGAAGTACTCCTTCTCCAGGCCCTCCGGAGTAAATACATCTGCTTTTTTTATTTCCGAGGAGCCAGTGTCACGCTTTGTTATACCGTGATGATCTGTCGTTGGTTCTTGACGGACGGATTTGGGTACGTGTTGATCGTGCTTGTCTGGCGAGCTTGATCGTGATTCTCCGCCAGGAAGTCGATCAAACATGCTGTCGCCAGATACGGTTTTCTTGGGCTTTCCATGCCACAGCCACTTTGCATGTTCACCTCGGACTAGCTCAACGAACTGGTCAATGTCCACGGTCTCAACTTCAGCGATGCCATCTTTTTGGCCAGCACCAACAATGCCCATGACCATCTCGCCGCCCTTGCCTCCTAGCTCAGCAACAGTAGACTTGAATGCTCGCGGAACAGCCCAGCCTTCTTTACGCGCTGCTTTTGCAGACGACCTTCTAAGCTGCTCAAGAGTCTGCCGATCAAGACGGCGTGTTCTAGGTAAGTGATGAGACTTTTGAAAATGTGCAATGCCGCGCTTGGTAGCGTCAATATCAAAAACATCTTTTGCCACTGCAGCATTGCAGGCACTCAGTCTGTTACGAGCGCCCATTAACATGCCTAGCAGAGCAGCCACGGTTGTTGGACCGAGGATACCATCATGAGGCTCTACAGTGTAGTACTCTGACCCAAAGTCTATCCACCAGTCATTGATTGCTTTTTCCGTCAAATCGCAGAGCAGCCCGTCGGCATACTCTGGCTCGAGCTTTCCAAACAAAACAAGTGCTATTTGACAGAGCTTGATCAACTCAATGACGGAAGCGTTAAATGGAATGCGATCACTTGTGCGATATAGCTGCTGGAACTTTGCTTGGGTAGCACCGCTAGGGGGCGTGAGCTTGATACCCAGGCGACCAGAACATCCTAATCTCTTGAGGTTTTCATTAACAACAAAGGCTTCGCGGTACTTTTTCACATCGCCTCCAGGAATGGGAATAACGGTCAGGGAAGAGGGGAATCCGCTGAGATTGGTAATCATGAGGGTGCCATAGGGCGTTTCCTTTCTCCGGGCATAGCAGTCGGTGAGAGACTTGAAGTACAGGCGCATCTGGGGGGACCATTCATCCTCATTACTGGGTACGCTTATGATGGTGGCCAAGACAGAGTCGTCGGGATTACCCGTGTAGGTGGTGATGAGGTAAGTGGGGTGGGTGCGGGAGCAAGCCCATTGCTCGACCAGGTAGATCTCGTAGCCCTCGATCCTCTGGCGACGGGCGAGGACGTGACATGTTGTGGCAGGGTCCTCTTCAAGGTAGCGAGCAGCCACCAAGTCGGTCAAGACGAAGCGCTGATGGGTCGGAGGTGAAGCAGGCGACCGGACCGCAGCTTGTTCCGGCAGCATGTCGGCGATGGGAGACTTGAAGACTGCTGGTTGGGGACGCGACTGTGCTGAGCTCGAGGGGTGGATTGACGTCGTCTGCAGGGGCGGCATCTGCCTCCGAAGCTCTTTCTCGGTATGCGCCCGCGACGAGGGCACAGGCAGGGGGGAGTCCATTTTTTAGGGCGATTTCAGGTGTGATTTGGCCGACGAACTACCAAGCGCTGTGGGTGCGAGCTCGTCATGGTAAAGGGAGGCGCAAGGTCCCGCCGATGGCCGAGGTGGAAGAGAGGGCACAGGACGTGTCGGAGGACCCTGTGAGCATGATCCTTCGTGCAGTCTGTAGTTGCTTTCTTATGTTGGGATATCTCAAAAGACCCCGAAACGCAGCGAGGGTGGTGTACACAGATGGTTCTTACTTCGGAGAGAGTTGATGATTAGAGCCATGGATGCGCGTGCGGAGGTCGGCCCTGTTCCCTCCCCCACACGTCATGCGGCGAGCGCGACACCATCGGTTCATGCCTCAACCACCGCAACGGCCATGGACAGCACTGAAGAGTCCCTCTGGCCAGACCGACGCTATCCACTTCGTTGCGACCACCGCTTCATTGCTTCCAACGCCCATAGGCCATCTTAATCACCATCGCTTGTAATCCCCGGCCCTATCAACACCATGGACGACCTCCGCGAGCAGGTGGAGCTGCTGGAGAAGAGCGCAAACCTCTCCGCCAGCATAGATCACGTGCAAAAGGCGATTGATATGCTCACTGCAGCTCGTGCAAAGATCGCAGCGGGTGAGTGCCCTTATGTCGCTTGTATAGCAGCACATGTACTGACTACAGCACTCGACCAGATCCCACAACGGCGCCCTTGACACTCGCGAGACTCCAGGACCCTTTGAAGCAATCTCTCGACACTGTACAGAAAGATCTTAAGCCCATTTACTCAGGTCTAAACAAATACGGCAAGGCACTTGACAAGGTATGGTTATCCTTCACACCGGCCGTCACTATCTCCATGGCTGACCGCACCCCTCAGAAATTCAAAGACAAGCCCCTCCCCTCTGCCGAAAATGACGCCCTATCGTCACATCCCTCACTCATCAACCGTGCTATTGCCATGCACCTCCTCCGCGAGGGCCAATTCGACGTAGCCTCGACCTTTGTACAAGAAGCCAGCCGCCAGCCGCCACGCCCAGAGCCCACTCCCAACACACCAAACCCCCACATACGCGAGTCCTGGGAGAGGGATCTGGCAGAGGGCACTTTCAATTCAGAAGAGCTGCAGCAGAAGTTTGCCGAAATGTACCACATACTACACGAGTTGCGCGGTCAAAGGAATCTACAGCCAGCCATACAATGGGCCCGCCAACGCAGCGCTGAACTCGAGGGTCGCGGCAGTAATCTCGAATTTGAGCTCTGCCGTCTTCAATACATCTGCCTCTTCGACAGCCATAACCCACACAGCGACGCCATGGACACAGAAATCCCCACTGGTGTCCTGAACGCCTGGGCCTACGCACATCGCGAATTCCCCCCCTTCCACAAGCGCTACGCCCGTGAAATCCAGCAACTCCTCGGTGCAACGGCCTTTTGGCCAAACGTTAAAGACTCGCCCTACTACCGCCTCTTCTACAATGACTCCGCCTGGGAAGAAGTCGCCCACTCCTTCAACCGCGAATTCTGCTCTCTCCTTGGCCTCAGCGCTGACTCGCCACTCTTCATCGCCGCCACCGCCGGCGCCATCGCACTCCCTTACTTGTTGAAGATGCAGTCCATCATGAAGGAGAAACGTACAGAGTGGACGACCCAAGATGAATTACCCGTCGAGATTCCGCTGCCCAGCCAGTACCATTTCCATAGCATTTTCGTATGTCCGGTTTCAAAGGAACAGTCGACGGATACGAATCCACCGATGATGATGCCGTGTGGCCATGTTATTGCCCAGGAGTCGCTGGATAAACTAAGCAAGGGATCGCGGTTCAAGTGTCCGTATTGTCCGAATGAGTCTCACCCAAGGGATGCGAGGAAGGTCGTACTGTAGTGTGGGTATGGCGATAAGTACCCCGTGATCCCCTCGTGAGGCATGGGATAGTGGGCGTTTTTGGTGTCTTAGGGTTGGATAGGGTTGTTCATGGCCTTGATGGACGTCAACGTCGCTGCTTGACGAGGTCGAGCGTATGCATACCAATTATTCTTGTTCATGTCTGATGAAATTCATTCATATCATGTGGAAAGAACCGTAGTGCAAAGAACACTGATTCCACAAAAAAACAAGGCATGGAGTTAAGTAACTAGAACAAAAAGTCTACCTTCGCGCCCAAACAGCCTCACACAGGCCTGTACAGCCACTGACCCGGGTGGAAGAAGACATCAAACTCGACTCCCCCGAACACTCCAATCGCAGCAAACAAATCACACTCCCCCCTTAGTCCCACATTCCCCCCCTCACTCCTAACATCCAACTCCTCATTCCCATCCCACTCCCCCTCCTTAACCCCGTTCCTCGTGAAGAAAACCTTGATATCCAACACCTTCCCCTCCTGCCCGCCCTGATACGCCGGCGGATTCTTCGGCACCTCAAACGTCATACCAATCCCCACCGTATCTCCCGGTTTAAACGCTGTCGTAAAATCATTGCCACCCCACGCGTCATTCACATACTTTCTGCCATCATCACCGTGGACACCCAAGCTGGCACGTTCCCAGCCCGGGAGGCGGAAGGTGGGGTACGGAGGGGCGACGAAGCCGATTGCGATGCCGGCGTCTGCTTCGGAGAGGGAAGACGAAGCACCGTGGCCTATGGATGTGACTTTGAGCTCGAAGTAGAGGGTTCTGGGGTGGTGCGTGATTAGGGGGGAGTCAGTGAGGGCGCTGTAGAGGGGGAGATTGGAGAGGATGCTGGAGTCGCGGCAGGAGGGGTAGGTGCGGATGCGCCAGTGGCCTGCGGATTGTTGAGGGAACAAGTCACCGGCTAGAGAGGGGGGTTTGAGGAGGGCGAGCTGCGCGTTTTGGATTGCGGTGTAGGTACTTGGGTGGAGGGTTTGCGGGGGCCATAGGGGATGCGCTTTTGTCCAGGCTAGGGCGCGGTCGCCTTCTTCGGCTGTGGCGTTTGCCGTGGGGGAACTGTCGTAGCCCATTGAGGGGGGAGGAGGGAGAAGTGCGGTGTCGGGTATCACGGTCCAGTCGTGGTATGGGGGTGGATCCCAGCCTGGAGGTGGTTGCTGGGGGTATGAAGGAGGTGGACCTGGTGGGGGTGCGTAACCTGAAGACTGATGACTTGGTGGAGGCCCAGGGGGAGCTGTGTAGGCTGATGAAGAAGATCCTGTGTTACGGTTTGGTGGGGGCCCTGGAGGTGCTGTATATCCGGGCTTTGATGAAGAGGCCTGGTTTGGCGGGGGACCAGGAGGAGGCTGGTATTTCTCTGTTGATTGCTCTTGAGAATGTTGATAATAAGGATTATTTGATTGTAGATTATGCTGATCTGTTCCGTAAGATGGCTTTTCGTCACCTTTCAACTTGTCTTTGAGTTTCTTGAACATGGTATAGGCAAAGGTGGCGTGGTATTTGAGTAGTCTAAGACCGCGGCCGTGATACTAGTCGTGGCCCTTTTTTAGCATGTATGGAAGGAAGGCCAGGCCCAACTCGGTCTCTGAAATGTGAATGGCTTGGAAAAGAAGACACAATTCAAACAAGGCGACCTGATGATGATAAAGGGAATTGGATTGGTGGTGGCTGTGCAAATGGCAGTCGTGGTTACCTGGATGCTGTCTTACCGAATACGTCATCGTGGCTTGGCGGTGCCTTTACTTCCTACTCAGGTCTCGGTGTTATATACACAACATACAGCCTTTGCTATACCAGGACTTAACTTGCAAAAGCATACTTATTCACATTCCCTGCCATATCTGCCATCTAGATAGATTTACTGGCACATGAACTACTCAATCATTCAACCAGCCATACACCGCCGTCACCCACACACACACACACGCACACACACATCAAGTCCGCTGAGAGCGTGTAACTAAAGTTTGCAATATTGCTGGGCCTGGACTAGAGTACTACTACAAGCAAAGAGCCACCCAACGTGTCATTACATGTCCATCCTCATCGAATCGTCACTCCCTTGTTACCCTTCTCATTCTCAATATACTCATCAATGCACACCCCGATAATTTTATACCGGTCCATGACGTGGTCGCGACTAATCAGCAAATTCCCCGAACCGCCCGTCCTAATATACCCGTAATCGCGCATCTGAGCCATGATTCCATGCGCAAACTCTTCTCTGACAAGGGCCCGTCCCATAGGCCATGGTATCTTTGGAATCACGGGCTTGCTAGGCTTCAGATTCTTACAAGAGGCTGCATACGACCTGTAGGCTTCTACACTTCCCCCGAAACCTAGCAGATCAAATGTGTTCCCTATGACACCAATCTGCACCAGTCCACGGCCATCTTGAAGGGTAATGCGATCGTCGTCATCACGATCCGCGCATGTATCGCCTAAAGAGCTTCCTTCGATAACTGTAAGTGCCTCGAAAATCATTGCAAATGGAGCAGTGATTGTACAACCGCAATTCACCCGCACTTCACAGGATATCTTCTCTGTATTCTCATTCCACAGCCGAGATTCGAAACCGGTAACGTCGACCATGCGGTAGTTCACCGACCTGTTATGGCTTCGAAAAAATTGTGGTGATGGCTTCTCCCAAGTGGTACCGCTGACACATCGGTCTTCCCACGATGTGGGTTTCGCACATGGATCTGTCGTCCTCCAATTCGGCCGTAGCTTATGAAGCAACCGTCGTCTGTACTCCACAATGTCGCTGCTCGGATCCATGATGCTTGCCAGTATGGTCGCGCATTGAACCAGTATCTTACCAGTCTCGTCCTTTACCACATCCCTGGGTTGGTCGTTGGTCTCGATAAGCTCTTTGGAAAACAAGCCCTTCTTCAACTTCTTTCCACAGTTACAGCCTCTGAATATGAAGCTGCAACCCGTAGTTTCGGTGTTTGGAACCAGACGAATCTTCATGTACTTCTTCGGACTCCCTTTGACTCCGGTTACTGCAGAAGATTTTGCCTGGCCCTTGGCTTTTAGTCTTCCTAGACAAATGACTCCAGCGAAGCAATCTGTTGTCGGATTGCCGCTGTCGTTTTCAGCTACAGGAATCCAATCCCACTCTCCTCGCTCGCGGCTACTGATTGCGAGTTTGGTCCACGCCCAATCCGTTTTAATGGAGAGTTGCTTGAAGAAATTAAATGACATCTTCCCCATATCTTTTCCCGAAAGCTGTGCCTCGATCTCTTCACTGGTGAATAATCCACTGAAGATACCCAGAAGGCCTCGAAATATATCGTGCGCTTTTCCGCAATTTCGCGGGGTCAAGGAAATCGCTGAGAAGATATTTGCAACACCTTTTTTATTGTCATGCCACCAGTTTGGTCCTCCATTGATGATATCAGTCCTCGCGCTGTCAATGCCTTTGACTTGCTGACGGAGACTACTCAGCGTCCACGCATCTTCTTCAATGACTCTCAGGACCGCCTCAATGGTTGCGTTGTTGATCCATCTGGACTCCTCGATCCACTCTTGCAGCTTGAGTGCCAAATCCAGCGAATCTATGGCAAGACTCATCCATGTATGGAGTTCGCCAATGCGCGATATCTCCTGGCGATCTATTGCCCACATGACAACATTCTTGCCAAGAATCATCTCTTGAAATGTCCATACCCGTGTAAAGTAGGGATTATGGAACAGCGACTGAACGTGGTTGACACACGTGGCATAGCAGTTTAGCACACCCATATCGATTGCAGCTGTCCTGACCGTCATCTTTGGTATTTCAAACGCCCAGGTCGCATCTGCCCACTCCTGGAGTCGCGTTCTCTGATCCGGCATGAGACCCGGTGCGCCCGCCGCGAGCGCCGATCCTTTCATATGCGACCGAACGTGATCGAGAAACTTGAGGTCATCCACAATCTGCTGTGGATCCCACACAACGGGCATATCAAGAAGGATGTGGCATCTTTCCGCGCTCTTGTAATACTCAAACATCCGGGACAGCTCGATAGCTTGGTCTGCAGGCGAAGTCTGCTTGATGCATACGCAGTCTGCCCATAGGTATTGGATGTTTTCCTTTATCATCAGCCTCTTGATGTCTTTCATTTTATCTTTCGCTATCGTTAGTACCCAATCCACGCCTGTTATGTCGCATTCCCATTCTGGTTCCGGTGCACCCCAGGTATACGATAAGATGTCGAAGCTTTCAATGTGCACATCCCTGGAATTGACGACGGAAAACTGCCCGTTGATCTGGCAAAGCAGCCTTGTGGGGAGATATGAAGCCATAATAGAGAAGTTTGACGGTCATACAATTGCTGCTTCGGCGTCGCAAAAAAATTACTGGTCAAAGAGATACGAGGATCCAGCCGTTGCTGAGCCCGAGGGCGACGCGAGATTTCATACACATTGCTGCCTTGCAGCCTCGTCGCCGAATTGCGGTGGACGCGGCGCTTCTACATGCCTTGGTATCATGGTAGTCGCTTGCGAGTAGGGGCATGATTCGCACGGCATGGTGAAGGGCCGTGCGGGGCTGCATTGTGATGGAGCAAAGCTGGAAAGAGGACAAACCCCCTTCTTTGAGGATACAGGGCTAAGCGAGCTGAAGGGTGAAGATAGTATCGATGTGGCTGGCAAACTTCACGATTATGATGCCACTCCAAGATGGCTGGACACATCTTACGGTTGCACAAGATGTACGCAGCCTTGTATCACCCATACCACCATGAAGGCTGTAAGTGTGTTTGACGACGCCGGATCTCAAGATGTATGAATCACGGGCGGGCCGATCCAAATTATGCAGAGGTTGACGATTCGGGTTGTGAGTTCCCACCCCTTGCCAGCTCCCCGCGTGACTCGAATCCTTACTAGGAACACAAATTTTGGGGGCGAAGACGGCTTGGGGCGTTATCGGAACGATAAATATATCGGGCGACAACCAATGTTCTTTCATCAGGATATCACGGACATGAGGCCGAAACATGCAATTTACACGCGCTTAGGGGTATGATTGGAGTTGTCTGCCGTGCCAAGACACACGGGCGCTAACGATAGGCAGATGTGTTTTGAGACTGAGTAGAAGGCTGGGGTATGTAAATTCACTGCTGTTGGCATCTAGGGCAAGGCTGTGGTCTTTTTTCACCGGTATTAGGCATCTCTTCGAGCAAACTACAGGCTTATGCATAGTAGTAAGGCAGTTTTGGGTCACAGCATCCACATTGGTGTTTATGAATGCTGTCAGCATTCCACAGAGGAAAGGCTGATGTGTTGAAAATCAATCGCCCATGTGCTCTTCAGCCTTCCCCTATAACTCCGATGAGCTGCACACACACAATACTGTTAATTATAGCCTTGAGTCTTTGAGTGAAAGATCAGTCGTTCACTCTATGATATGCGAAGCTGTCTCTTCGAAGTAAGTAAGCATGGGTTACGACATGCTCAGATTCATACGAAAAAAGAATCCCAACGTTTTTGTAGTGAAAACAACTTGTGAAGCTTATCGGATAGGGTTTGTATTGATGTGCTTACCTCGGCCTGTACCCCATTGTAACTTTTTCCAAACTTTGGTTCCAACATTACCTACCAAATAAACTTTCATCAATGACTAAATATATGGGGGCATACACAACCAGCCCGTCTTCACTATGGCAACTTTCCTGGTACCTGAGGTCGATTGAACGTTCTTATGCAAAGGCCGACAAAGTACATAAGATATAGTATGGTGCCCCACATCGGTGGGCCGAGGCACCCGTAGGAAAAGGTAACCCGCCAAAGACTTTAAATGCCGGATCGAGCACCCGAGATGCTGGTGCATACTTCGACCATCAATACCGTCCAGTTAGATGCAGCCTCTCGATTAATCGGCAAAACTGGAGACTCTTGGTAAAACACCAAGATTAGCCTTGTGCAGCATGAACGACTGCACCACCACAAGGCTGTTACTAATGTTCAAATCATCATACGATGGAACCGAGATGGGCGCATTGGTTTTATATCGAACAAGGGTTTCATGAGTTGCAAGATATCTATCAAATGTGTACATTGATGCATGTCCTGTAGTGTCGTCTTACCAGCTATCTTGGAGGGTACAACGTCTGGTACTAGGTGGGGGCTCTCCGTTTTGCCGACGGGGCAATACTCAAGGCGCGGAAAACTAACGTACAACATTCGTCTACGAATGACCATTACTTGGATATTTATACTGAAACACCGAACCCTTCTTCTTCTCTCTCCCCATTGCCACTGCCACCACCATTGCTTCCTGCCTCATACAAACAAAACGACGTAATGGCGACAAATGGACACGCCAATGGCGTCACTAACAGTACTTCATCCACTTACTCAATCCCGGGTGAAGCACGAAGCCTATTCGACAACGGAATCTTGAAGAATCCCCTCATTGCTCCCAGCCTCCCTCAAGAGATTGAAGAATGCGCAAAGACCATCAAATTTAAAGGCAACGATGCGCCTAGTTTAGCCATCAACTGGCGCTTCGCTGAAAGCATATCTGCCTTGAAAGGCCTAGAAGCCGCCATGGTAAACGTCCTGCTAAAGAGAAAATACAATCTCGAGCCTCAAGAAGTCGAGATAGATACGTGAGTGTTGTGCGATTCATCCATCTATACAACTGCTGAACTCCCTACAGCGACCATGCCCAACTCTTCTTCATGTCTGGCTTCCTCGCCGCCATCGACCCAGACGGCGAAAACATAAATTTCATCAGCAAACCCCTGTCAAAAAGCAACAGCGCATACGACAAGTACTTCAAAGACTGTGACAAATACGACATGCTGCGGAATGCATACCGTACTTCAGCCACAAACATCTATCGCTGCAAAGATGGCCGCTACTTCCACACCCACGGCTCCATGAACCCAGATCACACACAAGATTACCTCGGTCTCCCACACGACATGGACGTTACAGCACTCGAAGCACCATGGACCCCGTACGTCGAAAAAATAGCACAAATCGACTCACACGAGATGCAGCGCCTCGCATCAGACGTCTCCAAGCAAGCAGGCACCATATGCTGGACAACGGAAGAATTCAAAAACAGCGAGCACGGCAAAGCGAATGCGCACGTCGGCCTTTTCGAAATCCACAAGGTGGAAAACGCAAAACAACCGCCCTGCTGGTGGCCAGATAGCCCGGAAACAAGTCCGAAGCGCCCGCTAGCCGGGCTCAAGGTCGTCGACTTGACGCGGATTATCGCTGCACCGGTTCTCACCAGTGGACTAGCGGAGCTTGGTGCGTCAGTCATGCGTGTTACGGCTGAGCATCTCGCGGATATCTCAACACTCCATGTAAGTTTGAATTGGGGAAAGTGGAATTCGCACCTCGATTTCCGACGCGAAGAAGATCGCGAGAAGTTGCGTGCGCTGGTGCGCGAAGCAGATGTTGTCGTCCAGGGATATCGACCTGGTGTCCTGGATAAGTACGGGTTCTCAGTTGAGGGCTTGCTGGAGTTGACGAAAGAGCGGGAGAGGGGATTGATTGTTGTAAGGGAGAATTGTTATGGGTGGTATGGGCCCTGGGCATATCGGAGCGGGTGGCAGCAGGTTTCTGATGCATGTTGTGGTGTGTCGATGGAGTTTGGGCGCGCGATGGGGAATGACGAGCCTGTTACGCCGATTTTCCCTAACAGCGATTTTTGCACTGGTGTTGCGGGTGTGACTGCTGTGCTGAATGCGGTATTGAAGCGAGGGGCTGAGGGTGGGTCGTATCAAGTTGATGTAAGTTCTTTTTCTTCGTTTCTAACTATACATGGTTTTATGAGATTGATTGCTGAACAGGTCGCGTTGAATTACTACTCCCAATGGCTTATCAATAGCGTCGGGACGTACCCGAAAGATGTCTGGGAAGACGTCTGGACGCGCAATGGACGCCAGGTTTTCCGGCACTACCACAATATTCAGTATACGCTGATACATTACATGAAGATGATTCAGGCCAATTCCAGCATTATACTATTCAACCCAGACTTTTTTGAAGTACGCCATTCGGGGGCTATTGGGAAGGATATTAAGGTTGTAAAACCTATTGCTCAGTGGAAACAGGACAAGGTGAAGTTGGGGTTCAATGTGGGGACAAGAGGAAATGGAGTGGATCAGCCGAGGTGGCCAAAGGACTTGATGACTGAGATTGTAGCGTAGTGAGTCATCAACCTGGGAGGGATAGTGTGTGATTATGAATTACTTGTATTTTTCTTTACGAACACTTTTGTTGTAAAATAAAGGATGGATTTGAGAGAAACAAAGAAACAGCATGACGAAATCTTTTAGAGAAGTCTTGGGGAAGACATAACGAGGCATAATGCTACCATCTCGTTCACCTCCATCTCGCAATGACAACCACGACCTAATTTCAAACCAATGACCAAACAGACTTCTTAGAGTATTCCCACAGCCCCATAGCGATGAATATAAAAGATCAAAAATTCTTAACCCCTAAATTCTATACCAATTGACTCATCCACTACGTATACAGATAACCCTCACAGCCCAGAAGAATCCCTTCTTGATCACGTTCACCGCATCCCAAAGACGCCCCCAAGATCCCCAAACTCACCATGATTCCCTCCAAAATATCCACAGACCGCTTAACCCTCGTCCGCCTCACAAACACGCACCCCTCCCACCCCCATGTCCAACTCTTCCATGAAAACTGGTCCAACCCCACCGCGACCGCATGGTCTCTCCGCGGCACCACACACTCACTCGCTGAAAGCCGTGAATGGATGATCGAATCCCTAGACCGATTCGACAACTACTTCTACGCCGTCTTTGTTCGGCCACAATATCATCCCGCCGACGGTGAGAAGATATGGAAGATGCGGGACGTCCTAGCCGAAAACTCCGACACAAAAACGGAAGGAGAAAGTAATGGAGAGGAGGGAGATGAGGAGGACGAGTTAGGGGTTCACATCGGAAGCGTAAGCTTGCGCCTCCAACCCTCTGGTCCTACTCTGCCTCCTCTTTCCCTTTCCCGCCATATTGGCTCTCCCGATCCCGAAAAGCAGAAAGGAAGTGGAGAAGACGACATCCCCCTACGCGCCCTAGGCTACGCCATCTTCCCTACAGCGTGGGGAAAGGGCTACGGCACCGAAGCGAATCGCGGCTTACTCAATGCCTATTCCGCAGCCGTGGCCCAGCAGAGCGGGGGAAAAGGGAGGGTTTACGTGGAAGCGGCGGTGGATGACGAGAACGCGGGGAGTCTAGCTCTGATACAGAAGTTAGGATTCGAGCGTGTGGGGTGGAAGGAGAGTGAGAAGGTGTGGTTGAATGGGGGGTGGAGGGGTGGATATTGGGTATATGGGCTATACATCTAATCAATTCCACATAGTACCCCTTACATGATCTCCAGAAAACTACTGCTACTATCTTCTTCGCGAGAAGAAGAAGAAAAAAAATTTGAAGATTCAACAATAACAAAAAGGGGCGATATGGATATCAATATTTACACTCTAAAAAAAAACCCCCCCAAAACCAACTTGACCAAATCAAACCCCCCCTACCCCCCACCACAACGAAATGCATAACACAATCAATCACTCAAGAACCCTACTCTCCCCATTCCCCACCTCCCTAAACCTCACATCCTCCACCTCTCCCTCGCCCCCAACCTCTCTAATCGCATCCTCAACCCTCCAAACCTTCCTGCGTAAAAACCAACTCACAAACCCGCCTCCGCGTTTAACCTCGTCGTGCGTGCCGACCCAATACTTTGCCTTGACGAGCCTCTGCGCCAAAACCCCATTCTTCGCCCCAAGATTAAGTTGCTGAGCCGCAGATATCGAAACGTCGTGTAGCCCGTGCAGAAACGCCAGCGTGTGCAGTGCGGGCTCCGCAGTTGCGACGGGGGCCAGGGCGGTGTGCGGAATGCCATGTGGGGTGTAGATGACGCATTCGGCGGCTTCGCTGGTGGCGGAAGAAGAAGAAGGGGAGAAGGAAAAGTCTGCTTCGGCGCCGTCGCCGTTGATGCTTAGTGTGGAGAGGCGTTTTCGGGGTGTGGAGCTGGAGAGGAAGGGGTGTGTGGAGAAGGTTATGAGGAGGGCGGAGTGGTAGAATAGGGCGTCGTTGGGGGCGGTGAGGCGCGAGATGGAGAGCCAGGAAGGGAGGGGTGGGAGGCTGTAGTCGTGCCAGTCTGCGGTGCAGGGGAAGGTTGGGGTGGTGAGGACGGTGCGGAAGTGGGACCAGGACGTGATGAGTTTGGCAGCTTGCTATAGCGGTGTTGTTAGCTTTTTTTTTGGATTCATTGTATGGGGAGGGTTGCTTGAGGGAAGGTAAGGTACCTCTGTTGCGAAGACGGGGACGTCGCCGTGAACTTCGAGGAGCGTTTCTTTGTGGCAGTGATCGGTGAATTCATGGCTGATGGCTACGCAGTCGATATAACTCTCTTCGTCTTCTATGGCCTCTACTTTGCGCTTCCGGCTCTTGCTTGGTCTGAAGCCTCCGGCGAGAATCTCAACTTGTCGTGCCAGTTCTTCCACTTCTGAAATGCTCTTTACCGCGCTCTCCGTCGCGTGCCATTGCTGGCTAAACCACTTTGCGACATCGCTTTGTCCACCCACAAACCACGGATCGATTAGGATGTTGTAGTATATGCGGGCACCGTGCTTGACTGCGTTGGCGGGACGGGGTATTTGAAGGAGCCAGGAGGTATCGGCGTTGAGGTGATGGAGGATTGGGCGGCGCGTTGCGAGAGCGCGAACAACGGCGTCACGGATCTCCAGGTGTAGTTGCACCGAGGGCTCGTCCATGATGTGATGGGTCTTCTCTTCTTTCTTAGGAGTATTTGCGCGCAAATAATTTCAATGCGCCGGCGTTTGCGCACATTCAAGGCGGCATTTCGCGTAGACAAGGCTGTTGGAGATAGAGGTGGGAGGCTGGGGAAACGCTGTCCACGCGAGTGGTCCATGACGCGCGCACGGGTAGAGAGACGTCGACACACCCACAAAGGAGAAGCCAGTAGCACAACGTCTAAGATTATAGCTTTAAGTTAGCAGTCTTTGTTTTCATCCTCTGAATTAACACGACTGAAGTTTGGTCTTGGATCTACTAGCCATACTGTAATAACAAATGTATTGCACGAATGCTTCATACATGAAATCAACCAAGGGCGTTGATAAAGTCCAAAAACACATGGGATGTCCAAATCTGGCACAACCAACACAAGCGAAAAGTACTATCAAACTAATATACAATCCATGACACCTGCAAATGGATTCAGGAAAAAGATGAACTTGATATATTACATAAGACAACTAAGTCAATTGGGGCCCTTATCATTGCTATTTCGCATTAAACACTCCTCTCATCCGTAATTCAACTCAACTAAGGGGTAGGGGGCAAACAAAAACGCCGTATCATGCAATGCTTAATTTCGATGGGTAAACGCAGCAATCCTTCTCTACAAAAACATTCGAATAAATCACTCGCTGGGGTGTTGGGGAAAGGGCGCCAATTTTGGTAAGGCATACGTATGAAAAGGGTGAAAACGTAACCTGTTAGTTCAGCATCGAAGGGGTTGTGTGAAAACAAGCCTAGATAGGCTCAAAATTCTGCCTGTCACATACAAGATGTGCAGCAGGGTTGAAGTGAAGTTATGTTGCTTAAGGGGAAGGAACCGACTCGGTGTACTTTGCAGCCATCTCAACTGCAATCTCAGGAGACTTGACTGCAAAGATGACCGACTGCAGTCCACCTTCCTTTGCGGGCTTCGTTGCCATGACCATCTTCTTGCTGGAGCCAGTGACAGTAGCTGGGAGTGAAGGAAGAATCTGGTAGTTTAGAGGCGTGGCACCACTTGGGATGCGGACACGGACAGAGCACTTAGCAGTCTCCTTGTCCTTGAGAATCCAAAGCGGGCCCTTGGCAAGGTTAACCCAGGCCTTCTCTCCATCTTTGTCCACCTGGTGCTTAGCAAGGACGACATCAGTGTGGAAGACAATGTCGTAAGTGTTGAGCTCTTCTTCGGTCAGTTGGGAGAGGTCGATTTGTTCATGCTTTTCGCCTTCCTCATCCTCTGCGGCCGAGGCTGCACTAGTCTCGCCAGCTTCAGACAGGGGCGTGCCAGCACGTGAAGAAAACACTGAAGAGCCGATGGAGTTGCCGCCGGATGGGGCAAACAGCGATGAACCACCAGTCGACGAGGCAAAGTTGAAAATGGAAGAAGGCGGTGGCTTCGCCGGCGTTGTCGAACCCTCACCTGGCGATGGCGTAGCAGGCTGGAACTGGAACTTGGGTGCATCCTTCTTCTCCGTAGCGGGAGCCTGTCCAAACTTGATAGGGCTACCAAACTTGAAAGTTTGATCGCCTGCAAATGTGTCCGACTTGGGTGGTGCGGTCTTGGATGCTGCGTTAAAGTCAAAGAATTGGAAGGGCTTGTTGGTAGGCGTAGTAGTTCCGTTGGTTGCAGCCGTAGAGGAAATGCCATTGTTCTCCTTCTCAGACTCGGAGTCATTGTCACGGGTAATCCTAGAAAGAAGACTTCCCTTGGAACTAGTGTTTGGCTTCTTCTGCTCCTGCGTCCCTTCCGACTCCGCCTCAGATTCTCCAAAATTGCCTCTCGGGGTGGCTGGCTCTACAGACCCTGCAATCTCTTGTTGCTCGCTGTCATCTTCGTCGGACTCATCCTGGTTGTTTGAGGAAGGGCCGGAAGAAAGATGGCCGAAGATGTTGGAAGACGGAGCTGGAGAGGCCGCCGGGGCATTGAAGACAGACTGGCTACCTGTAGATGGAGCAGGGCTAACATCCTTAGGAGTGAAACCTCCGGGCGTAGATACACCACTTGTGGGCTTCAGCAGGCCAGAGAAAGGATTGGATTTCGGGGTGCTGCCAGATGGCTGTGCGTCTGGTTTAGCCGAGGCACCAAATGTGAATGTGGGAGTGGCAGCAGCCTTCTTCTTCTCCTCAGCACGACGCTCTTCTTCAGCTTTGTCATACCTGGCAGACCATTGCTCCTCAGTCTCTTCGTCGGAATCGTAATCCTCTTCCATGGCCTTCTTCTTGCGCTCGGCAGCAAGCTCCTCATAAGTCTTTGCCGTCTTGGTAAACTGCGCCATAAAGCCACCTCCACCTCCCGAAGCACTGCCAAAGTTAGGCTTGAACCCTGTCGAGCCGGAAGTGCTGCTGGGCGTGCCGCCAAAAGTAGGCTTGAACCCAGACGAAGTGGACGAGTTGCTTGTACCATTGGTGGCTGGCAGAGAAGGGGTGAAGCCAAAGCTAGTAGTGGGTGCATTTGCCTTGGCAGGTTCTTCACTGGACTTCTCAGCCGTCTTTGGTGCAAATAGATTTGTTGATGATGTAGATGGTGCGGAAGGTGTGGAAGGCTTGTTGCCGATTGCCTTGGCAAACATGTTTGATGTCGCCGTTGCTGGTGGGTTCAACTTTGGAGTAGAAGCAGATGGCTGAGGTGTTGGGCTCGCAGGTGTCTCGGCTGGACGGGATCGCTTAATTGGAGAAGGATCACGGGCTTCGACATTATCTTCATCGGCCTTGCGCTTTGTGGACAGACTGGACTCAGTTCCAGTGACGCCTCGGCTAGCTGCACGTTGCTTCTTCGCGTTGTCAATCTTCTTCTTGATGTCGGTGGAATGCTGGTAGTGCCAAAGAGACACACTCGACCAGTCTGCCGTGGGAGGAAGAGTGCTAATCTGCTGTCGGTACTTTCCGTTCAGAACTTGGAGTTGAGCAGTCAAGTCCGTGATTTGCTTCAACAAACTGTCACCGCTCTGCGCGCGAACAACACCTGGTACAGACCATTCTTTAGGGACATGTACCTTGGGAACCTTGGGTATCTCTGGTGTTTGCTGTGATTCGTTCGACAAGGTGGAGCTGCCTGTAAGATTTGGCATGGCTGGTGCGGGGGAAGCTTGCGCAGGTTCCTTGGGAGTACTGAACAGATTTGGGCGATCTGTTGAAGGAGTTGGCAAGGAGGCAAACGGATTGGACTTTTCAGACGAAGGAGATGCAGCAGCAGGAGCCTTTGGTGCCTCTCTTGAAGAAGTTGCAGACGGAGTGAAAGACGGGAAGCTGGACTGAGGCTTGCTGAACAGGTTGCTCGACTTGTTGGCCTCGGGTTGGAATGTCTGAGAGAACAAACCGGAACTTGTCTTTGGTTGAGCCGCGCTGAAGAGTCCGCCTTGTGACTTTTCCGCATCGGCTGTCTTCGCCGGCTGTGGGGTGCTGAAAGGCTGGAATAGACTCGACTTGGGCGCCTCGGGAGCCTTGAGTGTTGCCGAACTTGAATCTTTATCTTTTTCAGTTCCAAATAAGCTAAACCCAGAACTAGTGGCTGCTGGTGCAGCAGCTGGGGGTGTAGCTGGCTTTGCAAGTGACGCGAATGGGTTCGACTTGGGTGTCTCTGGTGTAGCAGTGGTGCTGGGTTCCTCTGGCTTCTTAAGATTACCAAACAGATTTGCTGTGGGGGCTGGAGTATTTTCCTGTGCCTGAGGCGTCTGCGATGTTGCTCCAAACGCTTTGAATGGAGTAGATGGACCCGCTGCAGTTGGGAGGTTTGCGAAAGGGTTATCGGCAGGTGTGGAGACCTTGGCACTTGGTGTAGCCGAAGTGGAAGCTCCGAATAAGCCAGTAGATGGTGCTGAGGGCGTTGCTCCGTCCGTCTTCTGTGCTGGCGCACCAAAGTTAAACAGACTTGATCCAGATGCCGTGGCACTCGGCGTGCTCTGTGCACCTGTGTTTAGACCCCCGAAGATATTATTTTGTTTGGGTGTTTCCGTAGCAGTATCAGTCTTTTGCGCGTTTGAACCAAAGCCACCAAATATGCTAGTCTGGGATGCAGCTGGCTCTTTGGGGGCTTCGTCCTTTTGTGCATTCGTGCCAAAACCGCTGAAAATGCTATTTTGTGCCGGTGGTGCTGTCTGTGTGGAGTTGCTGAAGCCACTGAAGATGCCGCTCGTTGCTGGTGTACTTGCAGTGTTCTGAGCTGATGAGCTAGTAGCGCCAAAGGTAAATGGTGTCGAGGCTGGAGCGGTGGTTGTAGGAGCGTTTGCAGCGCCGCTGGTGGTGCCAAACAGGCCGCCCGAAGGCGCAGCGCTCGAGGTACCAAACAGGCCGCCAGAGGGTGCAGCGCTCGATGTACCGAAAATACTGGCTGATGGGGCTGCACTGGATGTGCTGCTCTGTGCTAGTCCGCCAAAGGGATTGCTCTGTGCTTGTGAGTTGCCAAATATTGAACCTCCGAATGCGGGTGCTGGCGCAGGGGTGCTGCCGTTTGTCGCGGGCGCCGAGTTCGCAGTCGCAAATGGGTTGGAACCTCCTGCCGTGAAGTTGAAACCCGCGGATGAAGGCGGCTGGGGATTGAAGCCTGTGCCTGTTCCTGAATTGCTGCCTCCAAATGCTGGAAAGGATGAACTGGAAAAGGTAGTACTTGGGGCGGCGGACTGTGCAGGTGGAAAGCTGCTTGTCGCGCTAGCGCCACCGAAAGCATTGTTTCCTCCAAAGCCGCCAAAGGCGTTTGCGCCGCCGTTTGCAGGGGCAGGTGCCGAGGCGCCGAAGTTGAAGCCATTCTGCTGTGGTGCGCCAAAGTTTGCGCTCTGTGATAGACCCTTTGCGCGTGTATTAGCGAATGTCATCTTTGTATTGTGTATTTCGCGCCGTCTCGCGAGATCAAAGCGCTTTGCCGACTTGCTTGCGCCGCGGTATGAACGGGGAACGGAGGCTTGAAAAGGATATCGGGATACTCACGGAGGAGGCGCCTGCTGGTCGTCGGGCTTTCGCGGTTTTGATTCTGTTGGGAAAAAAAGCGTTAGCTTATCATATACAAAGCGCATCATCGTGACACAGACTGGTAGTCAAGTTGTGAGATGCATGCCGGGAGATGAATATCTTACTTTCGTGCGGCGAGCTGGGCTGCCGTTGCCCGCTGAGGGACATCTGCGGGTTCGTCGCGCTCTTCGTATGGGCGCTCAGGCTTACCCTGGCCGAAGATGTTGCCCCTCTTGTTGGTCGACATGGTCGCGATCACTTGGGGACAGAAAGTGATGGTTGCGGTCGGAATGGGTTTTGGGCTACAACTCCATGAGACGCGTGTGGTGGGTAGCGCAGGTTTTGGGATAGGATGTTTTTGGTGTTCCCTGCGACCCGTGCTCGACGTCAGGGATGCCTTAGTCAGCCACCTAGCAACGAGACTCTATTGACCACTAGTGCAGACGCCCCTTGTCCGTGAAAGAAAAAAACAGAGACTGCTTGTCCATCGGAGAAATGTAGGGCCTCGCTTGAGCGTTCATCGACATTGCTGACATTGCTTTTTCTTTCACCAGTGAACGATGCAGCTTGGACTCGAGGCTAAAATTCTGCAAAATCGGTTGAGCAGTGTTTTTAATCAAGGCTAAATCGTACTGCAGACATCGCCACCTTTCTCCAGCCCCGACATGCGCAGCGGGGTCAGCTTATGCTTTGATGCTATTATTATAACAAGAGTTTCAACGCAGCTCTTGGAGACGTCTTTACGTTGTTCTTCAGCTCAGCGCGATATAGAGTTCGTTGACAGACTCAACTAGGGCGATGGGTGTTCCAAAAAAGATGCATCATGTTTTGCTAGTCATTATGGCGTCATCCGGTCAGAACGATGTCTTGATCCTTGTATCTACCTACACTGGCCCACTGCAGGTATCATAGTGATGCGTTCAGCACACGTTCAAACTCAACAGCACCGGGGGTCTTGTTGGTGTCGTCATTCAGGCCCCGTTTTTTTTTCATGGTATGCCCTGGCACAGGTCATGGTTGCTTTAGAAGGACCCCTCACTGTGCGAACAAATGATGGCGAATACTTGCGAATAATGTCACGTGTTGGCCGCAAGGCATGAGAGCCACAGAATACCAGCTTTCAGAATCCCAATCCCCAAGGTGAACTAGAGGCCGCAACGATCTACAAGTTGCCGCTCAGCCGGTACTGTGTTTTCATACTAAGGGAAGCGCCATCTCCGTTTCAGAGGCTATACTCACACTACACTTGCTTATCTGCACTACTCAATTCTTCAAACAGCTCGTTAGTTGCAGAGGAGCTACTAGCATATGTTATTGCGGAGTTTCAGGCCATGTAATGTCCGCGGCAAGATATGGCTATATCTACTTGAGTATGTACATGTGCCGTGGGGTGGGTAATCAATGAGAAACCTACTCAAGTCTAGACCAGCGGGCAGAGAGCCTCATTGTGTGCAGAGGCAATAGTTGGCGCAGCGACAAAATGTGTTCGGCTTCCGTAGACATGTGCTGCGGGGTACTGTCTCACCGGGCGGTGGTCCTGGTCCAGACGCGTCAGAAGTGGTTCTCTGCCGCAGTGGCAGTGGTTAAGAGGCGCGGTATTGATTGGGACAAGAGGCAGCGTGGGGTATCGAGAAGCGTGTTTCAGGACGTAGACGGCGGATTGATGGCGCACACGTGAGGGCGATTGCAACCTGGTCTGTCTGCATCGGCTGGTTGTAGAGTAGGGTGTGCACAGTAGTGGACCGGACAGGCTTGACTCGGTGTGCCGTGTGCTCGGCAAGGAAGAAGCCCCTCTCCGCGTGGGGACGGGTTTTGTTGAGGATGCCGGCGGGAGACATGGTGTGGTACGGTATACTACTAGAAGAGTTGAGTGCGAGGGTGGCTTGGACAGGGTGAGGGTCGGCCTTGGGTGGAAATGGCGGGGTAAGTCGAGATCATGCGCCGCAGAGATAACACACAGAGCTGATGAATCCGCTTCTCAGCACCCTGCCCACGCTGCGGAAGGCTTCATGTCCGAGGGGTGATGGGGTGATGGGGTGGATGGCGAGTCGGGTGGGAGCATCGGCATCAGGCCAAGTCGCGGCGTCTAGGCGATGCATACGAGGCAATGGGGCGTATTGTATCTACAGCTGGGCACCTGACGTCTCATGATTACGCGCGGTTCAGCACCACTGCGCAGCCCAGCGAGGCGTCTTCCCTGCCGGCCCTGGTGTTGACGATGCTGTGCCACGCAGCTGCGCAGGCTGGGAAGCTGGGGAGCTGGGCAGGCGTCGCGGCCGAGGGGGGAAGAGGGGGCAAAAGAGGAGGCGGGCGGCGCGTACCAGCAGCATTGGTACTCTCTGGCGCGAGTGCGAGCGGTGAGGATGGAGGCCACAGCCACTGGCCGTCGTCGTGAGGGTGACTGTATCTTTGCGGCTTATCGAACGGCGACTCCGCTCCAGCCGGCCTGCTTGTTGCATCCCACAGCCAGCGCCACTCTGACCTTGTATTGTACCCGTCCCGCGCATTGCATTTAAGCACCGGACGCCCCCCATGACGGCGCGCGTGGTGAGTGGTGATGGTCGATCTCACCACTGGCGGCACCATCATCGATCCCCGTTGCTTGTGGCCTAGCCGCGTCCCGGACTGAGTGGGCTCAAGCACCCTTCTGCATTCCACATCCATCCCATAGCATTGCTAGCACAAGGCGCTCGGGGCCGAGGCAGCGCTCGAGGCAGTCCAGCACCCCAGCGGGCCTGCCAGCCAGGAGACATCTAACGGCCTGGCAAACCATCCAGCTTGCCTGGGTGAATGCGCCATCGACCCGCGTCTGCGACTGCTACTACCTTGGAATTGCCCCGGATTCATTCCCACCCTTCCCGCTCTCCCATCCCGGGCCCGACACAGTCGTTTCGTCACTCATCCATAACCCTCTTCCCTTCCTGCCCGCTGCGGAACCATTCGGAACGCTTTTGTCTTCCAACTTGGCCTGGTGATGCCACACCCTTTAACTGCTCCCTGCCTACTGCTGCTGCTGCTCATAACCCCAAACACCCTATAACCCGCCTACACTGACATGCTTCGATAACACCCGCGACCGCCTCTCTCTCTCACACACACACACACACTCTCTCAGTGTCCCTCGCCAACCATGTCCGCCAGGCATGCGCGTCTGCACAAACGCGGCCATTCGGCCTCGGCCGCGCCCAGCTCCCTTAGTCCCGTCGCCGACTATGGGGCCTTCACCTTTGACCGCTCAAACACACCAAAGGTCTACGAAGAGTCCTGGATCGAACCTCAACGTCCTATGCCTGCCGCTACTTCTGCCCATCCACTCAAGATCAAGCCTTACCTGCGCAAGCTCTCTTCCAAGGAAACCAGCGGTCTGGATCTCTCGCGACCTGCTGCTGAAAACGACTTGACGGGGCTGGGCATACTAGAGTACGGTGCCTACTCGCGTTCCATATCAGAAGTCAACTTCACGCCCGTCAACCCTCGCAACCGACACAGCCGTTCCACCTCCAATCAATCACAGTACTCGGCGTCCTCAGGCCCCCGGCCGACTCCTTTACCTTCCATTCGCCAAACACCCCAACTCTTCTCACCGCCAATAGCAGGCTCATCGCCCTCGTCTATCCTAGGAAGCGAGCTTGAGGGCGATGATATCATGTCTGACGACGAAGTTCGTTTGAAACAGAATTCGTATGATCCCACACGTCGATCTGGATCCATGTCCTCGGCACAAGGAACATCCCTTCGCCTCCACACCAACAACTCATCCACTCGCCTTGCTGCCACATACTCGCAATCCACGGCCTCGCTCACTTCCCCCACCGGCCCGCCAAGGGCACGGGGTGACACGCTCAAATCCATCGACACCACCACATCACCCAGCTCCCGCACCTCGTTTGACCAGGCTTACCGCTTCATACGTGGCGGTCGCGACTCGCCTGTGGATCCTGCATCAAGAGCTGCATCCATCCGTGCTGCACGACAAAAGTTTGAGCAAGAGCAACGAGCCAAGGAGCTAAAATACGAAAAGGATGCACACAAGCAGCAGGAACGCGACTACCGGAAGCAGCTTAAGAAAGAAGACTTGCAGCGACGCAAGTCCGAGACTCTAGACCGCAACGAAATGAACCGCACGCGCACCACGTCCGACGAAAGCGAAAAGACACCTAGGCCCTCTGTTGGCGGCCGACCCTCGATAGGCGGGCGTCAATACTCTGATCACCGACAGGCCCATTCCCACTCGTTGCCCAAGCTCGTAACTACCGTCGACCCGGAAAAGGCAGCCATGAGCGCAGTACCAAAGGTCAGCAAGAGCCGTGCTATCAAGGGAAGATGGCTCAGATTTGTTACCTGGCTCAAAACGAGGCTGCTTCGCCTATCGGGCAAATAGGTGCTTGTTCCAGGTCGTCTACTTGCATGCAGTGCCACGCATATATGCAGCTAGCGTTGCCTTACAGTGTGGGCCTCCACCTGGCAGCGCCTACTCACCGACACTCTATCACCTCAGTGTACACGGTCACCGACGGCACCCTGAAAATCGCACGTGTGTGCACTTTGCTTTTTTTATACCCCATCTTCAGTTATACATTTTTTTTTTTTACATTTTTTCCTTCTTTAGCACGGCGTAACGATTACGGCCTTTGACGACATATGCCCCCACCAAAACCTATGCTGCATATCTCGCGGGCATTGTTAGGGACTCATTCTTTTGGCAGGCGCATTGGCAAGGTCTGGCTCCAAAGGAACCACCTCCTCATTTTTGCATATTTTTATCCTACACTGGGCGTTGGAAGCTTTGACAAGCACTCGTTGAATCACTGCATGCCTGGCGGCACGGCAGGTTAGATTAAGTTTGGAGTTTGGTTGTTTATTTGTTTCTAGTTTGGATAACTCGCTCTGGCTTCGGTCATTGAGCTCGCAATTGCATTATGTTTGCTCTCCATCTGTTTTGTCTCTTCTGCAAGCAACAATGAACAGTGCACATGCTTCAAGCTGGAAGATGCACCGTGACGTTTGCGCACTCCAATCAAAACAAAGTACCATGCAAAACAAAACATGCATCAGCTTCTCCGCGTCGACATGGGTGAGATCATCGGTTATGGTGACAGGCTGCCTGCATGAACAGGGATCTGCAGTATCGGAGGCGGACTTAAGCTTGTCTTGGCACCGCTGTCATCATCCGACGCTTGAGACTCGCCATCGCGTTCCCCGCACCCGTTTCCCCGACAGCCCCGACATGAAACCACTTTCTTCATAACCGCAATGCCTCTACGAAGCCTGCCGCGTAGCTCAATTGCACTGAGAAGTGCGCGTCCGAATGCGATATGGAGGCAATGCGGAGCAAGCGCGCGTGTGGGCGCAATGGCGCAAAGACGATGGGCGAGCGACGACAAGAAATTGGGAAAGGATGAAGAAAGGCCTTTCTACCTCCAACTAAATGAGAGCATCTACGAGCGTGTGCAAAAGGAAAAGGCCGAGCAAATCAGGATTCAGTCGTTGCAGCAAAGAACAGCACGAGGTCAATTCTTTGCGACCGTCTTCGGTATCTAGCCATTGTATTTTTTTTGGACACTGGACTGAACTGACTTGGAAAAAAACAGCATGTCTCCTTACCGCGAGTATAGGCTATTACTACGGCCAATTGATACCGCCCAAACCAGACACGAGCTCTACCGCGCCACTCGAGACATTTGTTCCTCCCAAGCACAATATCTCAGAGGCGAACATGGAGGCCGCCTGGACCGACTTCCGCGATATTGTAGGAAAGGAAAACATCACACTAGACAGACATGACCTGGAATCACACAGCGGTTCATCGTGGTCTTCGCATCCCTCCTCGCCAGGCGACGTACCATTTTGCGTTGTGAAGCCAGGAAACACTCAGGAAGTCAGTGCCATCATGAAGGTCTGCCACGAGCGCAAAATTCCCGTCACACCATACAGCGGAGGAACAAGTCTGGAAGGGCATTTTGCCGCCACAAAAGGTGGGATTTGCATCGATTTCAGTCGTATGGATAAGATTATAAACCTACACAAGGAAGATCTGGATGTGGTTGTTCAGCCCGCTGTCGGATGGGAGTACCTCAACGAGGAGCTCGCCAAAGATGGCTTGTTCTTCCCACCCGACCCAGGTCCAGGTGCAATGATTGGTGGTATGGTTGGCACAGGTTGCTCAGGCACCAACGCGTACCGATATGGCACAATGAAAGATTGGGTCGTGTCGCTCACTGTTGTGTTGGCCGATGGAACCATCATCAAGACCCGGCAACGGCCACGAAAATCATCTGCAGGCTATGATCTTACGCGCATGTTTATTGGAAGCGAGGGTACCTTGGGCCTAGTCACAGAAGCTACTCTGAAAATCATTCCCAAGCCCCAGCACACTAGCGTAGCCGTATGTGCCTTCCCCTCCATCCGCGCCGCAGCAGAATGTGTCTTCCAAGTCGTCGGCGCATCCGTCCCCATCGCAGCCATTGAGATCCTAGATGAAGTCCAAATGCAATGCATCAACGACGCGGGACAAACCGCAAAGACATGGAAAAACGCACCTACCCTCTTCTTCAAGTTCGCAGGCACCCAAAACGCCGTCAAAGAACAAATCACCCAGGTCCAAGCCCTCGCCAAGAAGTCTGGTTCTGTAAGCTTCGAGTTTGCTAAATCGGAGCAAGAGAAAGAGGATCTCTGGCAGGCTAGAAAGGAAGCCTTATGGAGCGTCATGGCAAAGGGCCAAGGTGACCCCAACATCGCCGTCTGGACCACCGATGTCGCAGTCCCTATTTCCAAACTCCCGCAAATCATCGAAGAATCCAAGCAGAAAATCAAGGAAAGCGGGTTGTTGGCTAGTATCGTCGGTCATGTTGGTGATGGAAATTTTCACTGTAAGTTTTCTTCCTTTCCACCTTCTTCTTCTCCTTCTCCTTCTTCTCTTGCTAACGCTTTTGTGTAAAAAAAAAGCAATCATCCTATACGACCGCACGCGCGACTTTGACAAAGCTTCGCATCTCGTGCACGAAATGGTGAAGCGCGCTATTGAGCTTGAGGGTACCGCGACGGGCGAGCACGGTGTAGGTATTGTCAAACGCGATTATCTGCCGCATGAGTTGGGGCAGGAGACGGTGGATGCAATGAGGCAGCTTAAGAAGGCGTTTGATCCGTTGTGTCTTTTGAATTGCGATAAGGTTGTTCGCGCGGGCAAGCCGGGCGTTGGGGAGGTGGCTGAGTGGTAGAGTTGCGTGTGTGTAGATAGTCACGTAGAAAGTCACATCACCTCAGTGGATGAAAGAGATTATTCTTTCTTCTCTCTTTTTCTTCCCCCCCCCCCCTTTCTTCTTTATCTTCTTTCGCTTGTAGGTGTTACGCTGGAGAAAAAAAATCAATCGCTGTGCACTTAATGAGACATAATCAAGCATTATGTCTTTGATAAATTTTACATCATGTAAACTTGTTTCTCTTTTCAAACAGGAAAAAAAATTGGATTATATTCGTAGTAAGTTACTTCCTTCCCCCCTCCCCCTTCATTGTCCTACTCTAACCCTTCATTATCCACGTAAAATCTTTCCCCCTTTTTTTCTCTCTCCTCCTTATAAAAACCCTTATCATCTAGAATATCTGTCTATAAATTAGGGTTTTTTCCTTTCCTTTCCTTTCCTCTCCTCTCCTCTCCTCTCCTACTTTATTCCTCTTTTACCTCCCCCCCCCCTCGTTGCCACCATGCTCCAACCCTCATTTCAAATCCATTTCATTACATTTCTCAATCCTATATCTATTCTCACTCCATTCCCTGCCTTCCGTTCCGTCGTATCTCCCTCCGCGAACCTTTGTTTTGCTGGGAATTCTTATGTGTATCTTAGATGTGAAGGTTTATAGGAAATGGCGGGGGATAGGATATTAGGTAGTAGGAGGTACAAATAGGGATAAGTAGGGTGGTGTATATGGTTTAGATTAAGTAAAGAGAAGGATTAGGGTGGAGGAGAGGGAGGAGTGAGATATGTGAAATCTTTTTTTGATTCGTTTGATGAATATAGGGGGGGATTATGGGGTTTGCGGGTTAAGGGTTGATAATTCCGTTATTTAACTAAGAGCGTGAAATATAGTGAAGTGTGGGTGCGGTTTTTTGTTTGATGATGGGAGTTTCAAGGGCAGTCTTTATGCCTTATTGGTGGATGGGGTTCCATGTGCGGTTGTACTGTAAATCATGGATTTGAATCTCAAAAATTTCCGTGTAGTAAAGTAGAGATGGCGATGCGATAGCACTAGTTGACATGCGTTCACTGAAATACGATCAAGGGGATTATTTGTATTTGAATGTGAACACAGAGTTTCTTTTTTCGCGGGCAGTGCGTCATTTGCGTCTGATGTCGAGCATCCTGCAGGTGTGGGTGTTGGCTCTGCGGCTGTTATGACTGATGGTGGCGTTGGAGAATTGTATCTGGATGACACGTTGTTTCTTGATGATTACCGCGACGATAGGTGTGCAGGTTCAGATAAGAATCACAATACGCGTTATGAACCACACGATAAGCTGTTTCTCGTTGAGAAGGAAAGAGACTTTGAGTTGTTGGTTCAAAGATCTACTGCTTAGTCTATTCTTGATGCTGTGGACGATGTTATCGCTGCTGATTTACTAAACGAAAATGCTACTAAGCCCGGATACTACAGCGTGACACGATTTGCGTGGCGTTTATCTCACCTCGCAAATTTCTTGTTCACTTAGTCCCAATGTATCATTGCTTTTCAACGAGGGCAAGAAATGCCTTGTCTTGGACCTTTGCATCGTAGATATAGAGCACCCACATGCAAGCCCATCTTCCAAACTCTACTCCATCGACGCCAACGCACAACATCGCACCGGATAAACGGCTCTTAACCAGCCATTCCGTACGAACAAAGTGGAGAATAGCATAATTGTTGGGCGCGCCCTGAAAAAGCCACTCAATACTAAATATGGCGCTACACGACGCAGCTCAGCCGCCCACGTCACTCCCCCATATTTCACAGCTGCCATGGAAAAACCGGTCAGAGTCTCCACTGCGTCTACGACACGAGCCTTTTTGTATTTACTTGAACGATACATAGGCCTTGGCTGCTTAGTAACTCTAGCGTACGAGGCTCAGACCCACCCTTTATTGAACGTCCGCGTTGAAGTAGTACCAGCGAGGTAATGGTGTACCATGCTCTAACCAGTAGCAACGCCGTCTTTGCATATGACTGTGTCTTCTGTTTCATAGGCTGTGAGCAGTGTGGAGGTGTTCAGCCACCAGGGCCACTTCGCAATGAGCTCTCCAGCTTTTCATGACGTAGCAGACTGGCTTGGAATCGATATTTACTAATGCGAAGTCACATATATCACCTCATCCAGCGCTGTGTATTGCTAGAGGTGGAAAGTTTTCTCCGGCCCTAACGGTATTGGGACGACGATGGTGCTCCTGCGATGCGCTGGCTGTGTTTGAAGGGAGGTTGGTCGTATTCGAATTTACATATTCTAAATTGCGATACAAGGCCTACACACGCAGTGGTGCCATTGTGTAGGGTGGTGGACCAGGGATTTGGCGCATGTTTACTAGATTCTGATGCCTCGAGTTCGGTAATGAATTTGAGGTTGGTATTTGAGACGAAGGTGGAACGTATTTGTAATTATATCGACGGGTGGGTGTAACATGCGCAGTCGCACAAGACCTACGCGGGTGTCGTCCTAGAGGTTAGTTACTCCCTTATCGAAGACAGAGAACGTCTTGTTCCTGTGTAGAGTGGATAGAACTAAAGTTCGACGGCTTCAAAGCAATCAAGCATCGATACGAAACTGAACAGTGAATCATCTTGCAATGACGGGTCTTGCTAGCCTCCTTTCCAAAGTTGCATCACGCATAGCGGAATTCACCATACTTCATAGCGCAATCAAACCAAAAGAATTGCGTGGCTGGACCCCAAAAAAAGAAACTTCTCTTTTGGCCGAATTGTTGAGGCCTGTGTGGTTCGCTACCAGACTGACTGCCGGTGGTAAGTGCAATAATAGGGTGGAAAAGCACACGGGCTCGGCCCGTTTGTCAAACTTTGACAGGGTAAGTGAGCAAAGCCCATTGTGCAGGCCGTGGCATAAAGATCCAGAACTGTCATCTTATCTCCTATCTTGTACACATGTGTACATGTTTGTGTTGCCGTGCAGTTACCCCGATGTGCTTCGGACATCTGAGCGTACAGAAATAGCCCGAGCAGATCAGTCTCGGCGCAAGATGTACCTCGTAGCACGAGCGAGAGGTACTATCCCGGGAGGATACCCGCTCTGGACCCTTCGGTGCTATTAAGTGCGTGGCCAGCAGGTACTATGTATTTGTGTACTTACATGCTCTCATAATGGTCGAGAGCCAATCATGCCATTCACACTATGACGCAACAATATTGATGTCAGCCGCTTCTGTCTCTCGAAAAGAATGTTGTGCCAAAATTGTTCGCGCATCATATTTGAGGTGTTGTTCGTCGGCTCGTTATTCGTGATCGGCTGACGTCAGCTATGCCCAATGCGCGCGTATCCCCTGAATACATACGCTTGGGGTTTTTATGTTGGGTGGATTACGAATGCAGCCAGGAAATTGTAGTATGTCTCTACGGTACAGTCGAGACAATGTTTTAATGCACTACAGAATCGAGCACCCTTACCCAGTGTCATGTGACGCGTGAGATGTGAATGTCACTGTGGAAGTATCCACTTCTGCATGAAAGAAAGAATTGGCATAACAGTTTTTGCAGCGCCACACAATAAAGTTTAGGAAATACAGTGATGCGTCTAGAGAAGCCCCGGTGAGGACCCATATGTGCGGTAAGTTCCCAGATGAATACCAGTGGAAATGTAGTGATGACCACAGATAGTCGATCGATGCATCTTGAACTTCAACCAGTTCTCAAGGTTCAGGAACGCTGTTATCTTCTATCACAGTGTTTACAACAGCTCTTATTGAGCGGAAACACATGCTCCTTCTGGACTTCGCAGGCATGCGCTCTTTGGAACGAGCCTGCCGTGCATGCGATCACTATCCCCTTTCAATCCTTAGCAATAAGCTTAAAGACGACAAGCATCATGCAGATTATTGGGGGAGCAAAAAGAGCAGGTTTGCGTTCCCCAGCCTTGATGCTGATGTTGATGCTGATGTCGGTGGCTGGTGGGCTGTTAGATTGAGGCTTCGTGTATCTCCAGTGTATTTTTACCACTGCTCGTCCTATTGGATGATCGGTGTTCAATACGAGGAGCAAATTGGGTAGGTCTGCTAACCAGGTTATGGGTCTCGCCCAAACTTCATTGTAGCGCATATGGCCCTTGTAGCTGCATAGAAAGGCATCGAACCCTGTGATTGTAGCGCTTTGACTGATCTCCATGTAAGGCTGTGGTGATCAAAGCTACAGTGCATGCACCCGAGGGTGACATGTCGACGTGTACCCGTGGTTGTGTGAATGTCATAGCTAGATATTCCTGACAGCGGCTCCTTGCTCGTTTTTCTGTGCAAATTTCCCAGTCTCCTTAGGATGAGTTCTCGTAACTGCAGGTAAGCATTGCGGTGTCGCGCACAACGGACAAAAACTTGTCGACTAGGACATGTCAAAGAAGCTTAACGCAAGCCCACCGAGACTCAGACGCTATCAAGTGCCGGATTTGGGATAGCACAGCCAAAGGGAGAATGGTGTTCCGGCCCAGTGGAGTAACCAAGTGGATAAGCACGGTGGATCGTCAGGAACTTGGCGTGGTCTTACTCATCATGCTCTGGTCGTTGGCGAATCCTATAGCATGAGCGTTGCCCCTTGAGCTGGATTGGGTGACATGGTTGGGTTTGGGTTCTGACGGCACCTGCAGCCATGCGTCGGCCGAATATACGCACCTAAAACGGACTAGCGCGATATTAAAATAGACTTCCGCCGTTGCCAATGCCGTTAGCTTCATCATCGTCGAGCGGTAGGGCTGTATGCTCAACCATGCAACCTTGTTGCTGACGTTACTCTTTCGGATGTCCACACTATCGACTGTCGTATTCCAGCTTCATGGCTCGCGTGCGGAGCATGGCAGCTGCCAGCTCACGTGGGAGGAGCGAATACTACCGTTCCGGCGTCAGCCCTTAACCATGCACAGAGGAGTTATGGTATATAACTTTCCTCCCATCTCTGCTATGATACCTCACCACTATCGCTCACCTTCGCTTTAATCGTCTTTCCAGACTGACACTCGCTTTAGTGATCATCTCTAGAAACTCTTTAATACTTAATTTTTCAATCCTCAAAGCCCACACAACAATCACCAAGTAGTAGACACACCAAACCAGCCAAGATGCGTTACTCTCTTGTTGCTGCCGCCATTGTCGGCTCAACGATGGCGGCCCCGCAGTACTACGAGGCACTCCCATCTGGCTACGGCAGCATTCCCTCTTACCCTGCCTCGCCGCCACCGCCCTATCCCACATCTACTCCATGTGATGAAGAGACTACGCCCACGCCCACGCCTACGCCCAGCACTCCAGCTGCCGCTGTCTCGACCCCAGGCTCGAGTGCCCCAGTCTACCCAGCCTCAAGCTTCCCTGCTTATCCTGCTGAGAGCTACCCTGCCTATCCTGCCTCAAGCTACCCTGCCTATCCTGCCTCAAGCTATCCAGCTAAGAGCAGCCCAAGTACTCCAGCTGGCGCTATCTCAACTCCTGCTTCAGGCACCCCAAGCACTCCAGCTGGTGCTATCTCAACCCCAGCCTACCCAGCTTCTAGCTACCCAGCCTACCCAGCTTCAAGCTACCCTGCCTATCCTGCCTCAAGCTACCCAGCTAAGAGTAGCCCAAGCACTCCGGCTGGCGCTGTTTCAACTCCCGCTTCAAGCACCTCAGTGGTCTCATCAAGCACTATCGACTGCGAGGAGGAATCGAGCACTCCAGTTGGCGCTGTCTCAACTCCTGCTTCAGGCACCCCAAGCACTCCAGCTGGTGCTATCTCAACCCCAGGCTCGAGTGTCCCAGTCTACCCAGCCTCGAGCTACCCAGCCTACCCAGCTTCTAGCTACCCGGCTTACCCAGCCTCGAGCTACCCGGCTTACCCAGCCTCGAGCCAACCTGGATATCCTGCCTCGAGCTACCCTCCCTACCCCACTGGCAAAGTCTCCTCAAGCTACCCAGTCCAATCTTCGTCCACGGCAACTCACCCTGAGGATATCACCACGACTTATACTAGCACCAAGACCACCTTTGTGCCATGTTCTACCTCTATTGGTACTGGGTCGCATTCGGGGATTATTTACTCCACTTATCTCACCGCATCATACACTCCTATCATCGTAACCTCCACGATCTATGGATGCGGAGACAAGTGCCCGAAGCCAACACCCTCCTCGGGTGTCCCACAGTACCCTGCTGTAACTCCTCCCTCGCCTCAGCAGAGCCAGCCTAGCCAGCCTAACCAGCCTGTCTATCCTCAGCAATACCAACCTCCTTCGCCTCAGCAGAGCCAGCCCAGCCAGCCTAACCAGCCTGTCTATCCTCAGCAGAACCAGCCTCCGTCGTCTCAGCAGAACCAGCCTCCTGCGCCTTACTGCCCTCCTGCTGGAGCCGTCACAGTAACTGTAACTCAGACCCAGACTGTAACAACGACTGTTACCCCCGAGGCCTATGAACATGAGTACACTCCAGGACCAGTTCCTTATCCCAATGGACCTAAGCCGTCTTACCCAGCTGGACCCATGCAATCTTACCCAGCCGGACCTAAGCCATCTTACCCTGCAGGCGCTCAGTCTTCTCCCTACTACCCTATCCCAAGCAGCACCTCTCAGGGACCTCGCCCTACGGGATACGTGCCATCGAGCAGCATGAGCTCTCCTAGCTACCCTGCTGCCTCGCCATCCCCCGCAAAGGGCTACCCTGCTGTTTCACCCTCTCCCTACCCAGGTAATAGTTACCCGGCTGCCTCGCCTTCTCCTTATCCCGGAAACGGCTACCCAGCTGCATCGCCTTCTCCTTACCCAGGTAACGGCTACCCGGCTGCCTCGCCTTCTCCTTATCCCGGAACCGGCTACCCAGCTGCATCGCCATCTCCTGCCCCTGGAGGTGACTACGGCTACACCGGCTACAGCGGTTACCCCACCGAGGATAACTAGGCTACTGAGTCAAAAATGGTAGTGTGAAAGATCGAAAAGATTTCTCTTCTCAAGCCATGCAACAATTCTAGGGCAGCACAGGTGTTATCAACAGCAATTGGGGGGGACCTTGTAGCTCTTGCATTGCAGAGTAGTTACTTCTTCGATATTGCCTAGCAGTAGCGCCTAGTGATTTTTGATTTCCTTTGTACTCGCGGTTTCTTAATCTAATACGATTCACTGTACATATTCTCAGATTATGGTATAGAACGGTTCTTTACGATTGGAGATGTTTTTGTTTGTCTGATTTTCTTGAATTTACTTTGTTTCGTAGAATAGCTCTATCAAATCAATAACTAACTTTAGTCACTCCTTTAACGCGTCTCTCGCCCATGTCGTTGTTTATTGCTGGGGGATTATGTGCTAATCCACTCTAGCAACCTATTGCTGATATTAACAAAGTTGTCAGCTTTTGTCGTGCGATCACATCATGTTCTTGCCACCCGCTAAAAATTAAGTTACTGGGCAAAGCATGCGCAGCGCTTCCGATGACGCCGAACAACGGCTGCCCATGTTCGGGCTTATGCAGAAAACAAATAAAGAGAAATCGATAAACAATGTAACCTTGTCATTGCGAACCTTCACTCTTTGCTCGTTCTGGCAATGGTGCCGCAGAATCGATAGTCCACGCTCGTATCAGCACGGCAGAACTCACAAAGCCACCCGCTCCATCCCAACCACACCTGATCTAGAGCGAAGGAATGATTTCGCTCAGTATGACCATCAGTACGTATGCACAGTATGGTTTGATTTGCTGACTCTGTCGGGGTGATGCTGGGAATTTAGTCTAGAAGCGCTAGTACTTAGCAAGTGCACGCGACTCCGCAGAGCGGTGGATTGTTGAAGTTGCGGAAATCTATCCGCCGGTGTCCGATACGACATGCGCGAAAATGGGCTCCGTTGTATACGTAATCCAACGGCTTGTCCCCAAAATAGAAATTCACTTAGATTCAGACTTGCGCAGGCACATTGCTTGCATGTTGCAGCAACGGTTCTTGCCAAGGCAAGGCCTATGACGCTGGTGGTGGCTGCATTCCGAACGTCCGAGTGTGTACCTTTGCTGAACCCAAGGTGAGGATCAATACGATGGGACTAGGATTCTAGCTTTGAGACTTCGGGTTTGCCAAACCTTGGGGATGGGTACCTGTCAGAATTGTTGTCGCCGCGATGTCGCGCGTACAAGTACATGGGCAGGTCGATTGCAATCTCCTCTTCATATACATACAACTCCAGTGAAAAGCAACGGAAAGTGAGCCGCTCTACTGCACTTTGGTGACACGTCAACTGTGACCGAAGTATAGGTTCTGGGCAATGACGTGAGACGGGGAGTTTTCCTCAACCGCGCCAGTCGCGGGGAGAAATCTTGTCGAGGAATTCTCCGTCTGAGTAATATGAACCTCCCACACAAAAGACCTTGACAGGGCAACCAGGGAGAAGAGGAAAAAAACAGTATTTCCCCTGGCTGCAGCCCGCCTTGGCCCTCCTTTTCTTCTCCTCTTTCGACCTTTCCCCTCTCTGTCTTTTCCTTCTTTGTCCTATCCCCTTCCATCTTCCTCCACATTGGCTTCGGTACTTCCAAGTTTCTTTGCTGCTGCTTTCTACACATACGCTGCGCAGATTGATCTTTTGATATTAGCTAAACACTCGTTCTTTCAAGAGCTCTCTAGGTCCTATATCCTTGTTACAAAAGCGAAGTCGCTGCTGGCTGGCGATCAACTATTCTGGCGAAGCTACAATACCAAATCGCCTTGGACGGATGATCGTATGATCACCAACAAAATCTACTACGCACTAAGCGCTTATTCTCGTCTTCGTGAAATCAATACACAGTGGTTCCTATGCAAAATCAGAGCTTTTACTTAGGCTGAGAGTACACCAATCAATTTCTCTCCAAGATACCTAACAGTTACTCGTTTTTGCATAGTTAATAGTTGCCATATATCCAGGGCAGAGACATGGTAGCCTGAGTGCTCAAATTTACCTGATAAGTCTAGTTTCGCGATTTGCGAATAATGTGTAGTAGACGGCCTCCAAGACCTCAATGACTTGGTTTCTTGGGCATGTATATGCTTGTGAGGATCATCAGACCCTGCCTAAAATCATGAGAACAGGTCGCTCTCTGCATCCCACCAGTGAGTATAGCGTAGTGCCCTGATGCAAAGCAAACCATCCAAACGAATGGCATACTTTCTCCCTACGCAAAGAGCATGTAGTACTACACCCATCTCGCTGCGACTCAACTCTACCATGTATACGGAACCCACGGAACGTGAGTTAGAGTCGTGGACAAGACATGTAAGCCCGGGGCTAGACAGCAATGTAGACAACAATAGGAATATAAAAATGAAATAAAATAAAAAGACGACGTTATGGTACAAGGTAGTACAAAGTGATACAAGCATGGTAAAACCACCCACAATCCTACAACCCACGCACACCAGTCGCGTGCACAGACCACTTGTCGATCCCCCCGCAGAATTCTTGCTCTCGAACGACATCATCGCCCGCAACCACCCAAATCCGACTCTAAACAACCAAATCCAACCACCAACAACCCCCACGCCGCATACACACACCAGCGACACCCAAAACCTCGCCAATTGCGTATCCCTTCACCCCCAACTAAAGAAGGAACCAACCCCAACACCGCCCAAAATGTCCATGTTCTTCGGCGCAAAACCCCAAATCTCCTCGGAGCAAAAGATTGCGCAGGCAGAGGCAGAAATCGACATGGTTTCCGACATGTACAGTCGGTACGTCCTTCTCTCCCTCTCCCACAATCTCGCCCCCAATCCCTCGAGGTACATGCAGACGCATACGCTAACGCTTCAATTAGCCTCGTCAAATCCTGCACGGCCAAATGCATAGACACGTCGTACCGCGAGGCGGATCTCAACAAGGGCGAGTCGGTGTGTCTGGATCGCTGCGTGTCCAAGTTTTTCGAGGTCAATGTCAAGGTTAGCGAGAAAATGCAGGGAGAGGCGCAGGGGAAGCAGGGGGGTGGGATGTTTGGGGGTATGTAAATATGGAGGAGATGCGATGATGGACTATATGGGCTGCTGGGTGCTATATGTCAGAAGACCTTACCGCCGAGTGCGGAAGAGCATGGGGGAGATATCTGAATGGTATGAGTTGAGGGATTGCGAATGCAAGAGGACGATGGATACAATCCGCTTTTGGTCGGGCATTGCATGCACCCACATCAGTCACGACTACAATGCTCAAAATCTGTACAATAAAAAGGTTCATGAATTCAATTGATCGATCTATCCTCCACCGTGCCATGCGTTTCTGAACGCATATCCTGAGCGACTATCCACCTCCTGTCGCCATTATCATTCATGAATCGCTGATCAGTAACCATGAATCTGTGTGTGAGGGTCCGGTAGCCACGCAAAACAATCGCATGCATTAACTCGTTATACAATCGTCAAAACCATTAACGCATCAAGAAATCATCAAGTATCGTGCAATCCATCGTGGAGTGGAGATGTCGGTGCCCAAGAAAGTCATAAGAAAAGCGACTGCAGCTCATTGTTGCGTCGGTATGTCTCGGGGCACCAGAGTATCGTCGTTAAAGGGCATCGCAAAAAGGAAGAAAAGCATCGTAATCAGTCGTGATGGTGTCGAAATATCCACGAGAGACAGTACACGGTGGTGTCCACGAGTGGCCCATGTAGTTAGTGAAAAGTGCTGTATCGCATTAGCCATTCGCCATCAATAAACAAACAGTGAGTGGGTAACAAACATACCATCAAAGCCAATCCGGCCTGCCACCGGTTCTGAACCGACGACCAAGCCGCTTGATGCCGCTCACAACCTCGGGGTCGAGATCGGAAGATTCCACAAGGCTATATAAGCGCTGGAGCTCTATGCCAGTAATATCCGCTTGTATCTCTGCATTGCGGGCAATTTCCCTGGCTTCAGCTACGTAATCCTCGCAATTCTTGGCACATGAGGCGGCGCTGATGACACACTGTTGTCTCGGTGGTTAGCTGGGTGCTCTTTGAATGGAGGAGAGGGGAGGAAGTCTGGTTATTAGTTGTTGTTGTTATTATAGATACCTCTGCCATCTGAACAATGCGCTTACGCTCGTTCGAGTTGGGAGGCTGCGTATCTAAGCGTTCGATCATGTCTTCAATCAAGGTGCACGTGCTCTCTCGCTCAGTAGGTATGGGTTTCTTGTCTGAACTGGCCGCAGTACTGTTCAACTTGAGACTGGCACTGAGAGGTATGGGAGGGTTTTTGCCTTTGTCCTTCTTCTTCTGGTTAGGAGCAGGTGCAGTCTGAGGTCTGAACTCAGTCGGCGCGCCGAGGTTGATCATGGAGTGACTCTTTGTATCCCGCATGGCACTGGAGAGTGAGCTGCTAGTGACACTCAGGAAACCTTGCTTGGTAGTAGGCATAGGTTCCTCTGGTCTGGTGCGTGACTTGCCTCGACTGAAGATGTCGCGAATGTTGCGTTGGGCCTTGATCTTCTTCTCTGTCATACCGCGATCTTGCTTGTCCGACGACATATCTTCTGGAGCGGAGGGGGTCACCGAAGAGCCTATCAGGTGATCGTCAGAATGATATGATTGTCGCTGCTGTGGTGTTTCGTGGCTCGAAGAGCCCTCCTCGGTTTCAGACGTCACAGTATCCGCCGTCCTCAACCTTCCAGAATCGGAGTTGCGGACGGTATCGTGAGACTGTGCCGTGTTGTGCAATGACAGCGAGCTCTTACTGAAAGGGTTCATTTTCCAGCTTTTGGTATCATTGCCGAAGTGGTCCTTCAGATTTGGCGAGGACTTCGAGTTCATGATGCTTGTGATGGTCTTCCTGATCCCGGTCTTCTTCCCCTCCAAGACTGGCTCGTCGTCTGGCAATTGAGTGTATCCTGAAAGCAACACGGGAATTTCCTGACCTAAGAGTTAGTACCATCTGCAAAAAGCTCGGATTGACGTACCTGACGAGCTTCAGTGAATTCAAACACCTCTGGAGATGCTGTGGGCTTGGACACAATAATCTTGGGCTTCGAAGCGGATCCTGTGAGCTTCATGTGATGATATGAGTGGTTTGTAGTGTGAGTTGTGTTGTCAACGGCTGCCTCAACTACTTTGTCTTCAGAATTTGAGCTCGTAGCGGGTCTGGTGAGCGGTGACGAAGACATTGGTGAATGGCCGGCTGGGCTGACTTTTCTTGCAGGTTGCATGGAGCGAATTGGTGAGATCTTGACAACAGGGGTCAAACTCCTCAACGTCCTCACGGGAATCGCTGCTGGAACTGGAGGCGGATCTCTCAGTGGCGCCTTGGGCTCTGTAAGCTCCGCAAGGCGGGCCCTGAGATTGCTGGAAGAACGTGACTGCGGAAGGCGCTCAGTGAATATAGCTGGGATGGGTGGTACTTCTGGGATATCATCATCGGTGCCGAGAATGAAGTCATCGGCGTCAGCAGAGATCCTGAGTATCGGACCTGTACCTGTGTGCGTAGTGGCGTCTGCATCTGATGCATGCCATGAGAGTGGCTTTAGTCGGATGCTGCGCTCGTTACCAGTGCCATCGTAAGAATCTTGAGCCAATGAGTTTGAACGCGGAGAAACATTCTCTGGGTGAAGTACCGGCCACTTGCCACGTATAGAGCTCTCAGATTGAGCGTCTATGAGCGTACGCTGGGCTTTTGGCGGACTATTGGGATTAGACACCTGCATGATCGGAGGACTGGGTAGAGGCTTTCGAGCTGGCATGGGGCGAGAAAACTGAGAAGCACCCATAGGTGCTGCATCTGAGCGAGTTAGCAGCAGCGATTCTTCATCACGCAGAATTACAGCCATATCAGCGGAGATTGGGCGGGGATCTGTCATCACTGTCAGCGTCTGTTGCCAACTCTTGCGAGTTGGCGGTCCGTCTTGGATGGAGGTTTCGACGCGGCAGGAGGTTGATTGGAGAAAAGAGAGGATCTATCTGGGATTTACTATCTATATAGTAAAGGGAGAGGTTTGTGCACGGGCTTCTTTGCGTTCGCAGAGGCAGTGAAGGTGAGTGTGGATTGCCCAATCCAAGTGAATTGCAAACGCGTCATAACTCTGCTCTTTCTCGTGACCCAAACAAGAAAAAAAATCCATAGTCACTGCGAGAGACGCCTGCCTAGACTCTCCCTTTCGTGCTACCGGCATCTTTACGGTGTGGTGCTGAAGTCGCAGCAGATGGCTGTGAGAGTCACGATGTGTGAGGTCATTGACGCTTGGGCCACGGCTTCGGTTGGAGAAGAGGACAGCTAACGCGCCACCTTCACCTGTAATTGCAGGTCCAACGACCAACTCGGCCAACGCTCATTAAGGCATCATGGCGAAAACGTACAAGCAGATGAAAGAGGCGTGGGTGTCGGGACATACGGGGAGCTCTGTAGCAGATGTAAATATCGTCTCGCTCGCAATGCCTGTACTGTGCACGATTCCATTCTTCAAGCAATAAGTCTGTACTAACAATGTTAAGCTGAGCATTTTGCTATGGTCGGTCATACAGTCTCGTATGCGTTTGTTCACGCCTTATACGCCAGCAGCCCTGTTCATCGACTTTCTGCTCAATTGCGGAGCTACGCTGTTCGCAACCACCATCTACTCACCCTCTCCATTGATTCTCAACCTCCTCTTGCTACTCCCAGCAATTACACTATATGTCCTTGAGAAGCCTGCTCCAGCCAAGGAAGCCCCGCGACCGCCCAAGATTGACAAGTCTGAAAAGGACTCTAAACTGGATGCACTACCTGTCAAGCCGTTCATCACAAATTACCGTGGCGCAATGATGGTCATCACATGCGTTGCAATTTTGGCCGTCGACTTTCGCGTCTTTCCACGACGATTCGCTAAAGTCGAGAACTGGGGCACGTCACTCATGGACATGGGCGTCGGGTCCTTTGTCTTCACCGCTGGCGTGGTTTCAGTCCGCTCTTCACTCAAGCAAGGCACTGGCCGACCGCCACTATCTAAACGCTTGACAGCATCATTCAGACATGCCATTCCCCTTCTTGTCCTTGGTGTCATTCGACTTATCTCCGTAAAGGGACTGGACTACGCAGAGCATGTCACTGAATACGGCGTGCATTGGAACTTCTTCTTCACCCTGGGCTTCCTACCACCATTTGCTGCTCTTTTTCAGTCAGCATTTGATCTAGTCCCTTCGTATGCTGTGCTGTCGTTCGTACTGGCTGCCGTCTACGAAGTTGTCTTAGACTGGACATCTCTTGGACCCTACATACTTGTGGCCCCGCGTACAGATTTGCTCTCCAAGAACCGGGAAGGGATATTCTCCTTCTTTGGATATCTTGCGATTTTCCTAGCCGGCCAGTCTCTGGGTGCGTCTGCACTCCCTAGGCAGCAGCCAATCGCGAAAGACGCACCGATGACAACAAAACTCCGACAATCCACACTTGGGAAACTTGCGACTACATCTCTCGTCTGGACTGCGCTTTTCTACTTCTCTACAAGTTACTACGGCCTTCGATTATCCGTCTCAAGACGTCTCGCAAATCTTCCGTACTTTCTCTGGGTGTCTTCGTTCAACAGCTATCAAATCACTATATGCTGTGCGATTGAGACTGTTCTCTTTCCCAGCTTGTACAAGGCCACAAACAAAAGTGAGGAACTACGACGCACTAGAGACGCCACTAGTACTATACTGTATGCATTCAACCGGAATGGTCTTGTGGTTTTCTTAGTGGCCAATTTACTGACAGGTCTGGTCAACATGACTCTACCCACTTTGAACATGAGTATCATTGAATCGATGACGGTCCTCATAGCATACATTGCTGTCGTGGCTGGAGTCGCTGTTGTTCTCGACCATTACAATGTAACGATAAAGCTTTGAGTAAAGTTAGCTTGTGCTCAGTCTTACCAAAAACAACTTCTACTAATTCCAAATTCGCAAGTCTACTTCGATCTGATTGCCTTTGATAATATGACTGAGTATTTCTTTTATCTTATTCATCTCTCTTTTTGTGTAAAGCTGTATTATTTACTCATACTAACATGCGTGCACGATATCCATCCAACTAGCTCTTTCCTTCTTGTATACCCCACGTGACAGCGTGAACCCGCGTTTGCCAAGGAAAGCGACACGGAAAGCGACCGATGACCTCGCTGCACTTCTAATGCTCACCCCACCAACACTCATTCAGCCATAGCAGATTTAATTAGTGCTTCAAATGTGTACAAAGTTGCAGACATGTCGACACCGCAAGCGAAACGCCGTCGGCTGAACGAAGCCGCGAAAACGCTGCAGAAGCCATTCAAGTCTCCTTTCCGAACACCATTGAAGCCCAGTATTAGCGACGATCCGCCATCTTCAGATCCACCTGAAACAGAATCATCCACAAAGGAAAAACCAGGAGACAATCCCATCTGCGCAAGTTCTGTACATTCTACAAGCAATGCCGAACAGAAGGCCACTACGTCACCCTCTGGAAATGTTGCACCAGCACAAAGACCTGCATCGAGAGTTCCAAAGACTCTTGTGTCGCGACCAAACCCATCCACGCCTTCGAGACTAGCGTCAAGAAGCATGCTCTCTAAGCCTTCGGCTGCACGTGAAATAATGCAACTACGCAACGAGATTCAAATGCTCACCCAAGCCCAAACCCTTGCTACATCCACAAAAGACGACGATCTTATTGCATTAATAGAAAAATGGCGGACCGCAAGCCGTGCAGCAGCAGAAGAGCTTTTCGGTATCACTAGAGATCGAGTCAACAGAATGGGAGGGGTGGGCGCCTGGCAGGAGCGCGAGAAAGAGGCTAAGCAGCGGCAGATGAAGTGGGATCAGGAAGAGCTGGAAGCGGAGCGGGAGAAGATGAAGGAGGCGAGAGAGAATGGGGAGATTCCGCAGGAAGAGTATGATCGATTTGCTGAGATGGAAGGGGATAGGGAAGTGGAAGAGGAGAAGGAGACGTTTAAGAATGCGGATGATGTGAGTGATACTGGGGACGTGGATTACTATGAAGAGATTGCTAACTGGTGTTAGTCGTTTACTATGGATATGATGCTCAAGACACTCAATATCGATCTACAGCTCATAGGATATAACAAGGACGCGCAGAGGTGGGAGGGCTGAGCGATGCTCTTCAAGGTTGCATGGAACCTCGGCCCAGCTCTAGGGTTATGACTGATTTTCTCTAAAGAATGCAAAGGGATATTCAGCACTCACGCGATTAATGAATAAGTCCAGTAAGTTGGTACTCAGGCAGTTAATCTTTCTACAGATACTTACTCCACCAGAATTGTTGTTTAAGCTTCTACCCTCGTGGCAAGTCCTATTTACTATGCAGGTCCATAAGAAGATGGTATAACAATTCAAATGTAATACATGACCCGGGAATTTCACTCTACACTTCAAAGCTTTGCACCTGATGCAAGTACCTTTTGCACAAGCTCCAGCACGCGCTCGGCACTTCCCCTAAACCCTCACTTAGTAATGCATCATGCATGTCAATCAATGAAAAGCAACTTACCAGGAAGCCTGATACCCTGCTCCAGCATGCCCATAACAATGCACAACAGGTACTTTCCACTTGCCTACCTCGGTCTCAATCCTCACACCTCCCTTTCTTGACGCTGTTCCGTCACGTTAGCCTTTACCCTCAAAAGTCATTTCACTCCACCCCACTCCACTCCAATCCACTCCAATCCATTCATAAAATCAGGATAAACAAAAGGGGTACTTACGTCTCAACCCCACATTCCTCGCCAAAACCTGCACCTCCTCCGGCTTCCCTAACTCAGGACACAACTCACAGCACCGCTTCAATATGTCCTTTCCGAGTTCCTCATCCCACTCAGCACTCCAATTGTTGTCTTCTCGCGAGCCACCTAGAATGACGCCGCCGCCCAGCGGGCGTGGGAAGACGTAGGTGCATGTTGGGTCGATGCGGTGGGGGGAGCGAAGGTACCTTTTGTTTTTGACATTAGCAAAAAAGACTTTCCTTTGCATGTTACATGCCACATGGACTGCGTATATGGGGGAAGGGGGAAAAGAGGAAAAGGCATCACAATACCCCAGCCTCTCGTATTCATACATTCTCTCAATCGGAACTTTGGGCTCCGCAACCAGCAGCGTCTGTCCCCGCGTAGGGTACAAATTCGTATCGCGGATGTCTGTCAGAGACAAGGAACCGAGGCCTGTGGCGTTGACAAGGAGGGTCGTAGATGGTACATCTTCCAGCAACGAAGCAACAGATGTATAATGGCGGCGAAGCAATGTTATGCCCTTGGCTAGGGCTTGATGTTGTAACCTTTTTTCCATCATCAGCACACATCCACGTCAACCCTACTCACCTTCCAAATAGAAAGGGAAAATGGGTGGGGTGGGGGGAGAGAAACCACTGCAAATAAACCTGCGTATTAATCCTATACGTCCTCGGAATCTCAACCCCAAACACCGCACCTTGGGGCAACCTCCCCGCATCCAACTCCTTCAACCCCCCAACCAACTCATCATACCACACCTTCCCCGTCCCCACGCTCAGAATCCCCGCCTCTTCAATCGGCGTATCGAACACAACCCACATGCCCATCCGCCCCAGCCCCGTTTCGTTTCCCCCATTACCTCCCGTGACGTTTTTGGTTTCGCCCGCGTGAACGGCTTGGCAGCCAAACACGGCTTTCCCGTCGATGAGCTCGCCGAAGCGGCGGAAGGTTACCTCGTCGTATTTTTCGAGCGGGCCGTTGTCCGTGGCCATGGACGACCAATTTGCGCCGGCCCAGGGCGACGTGTAGGCGATGGAGCGGTCGCCGGGGAAGTGGGTTGCCGCGAGTGTGACTTGAGCGGTTGGATAGGTGTGGGAGAGGACGAGGGAGGTTGTTAGGCCGATTACACCCGCGCCTAGGATGAGGATATGTTGGGGAGATTCTTGGGGGGTTGACATTTTTCTTTTGATTTTTTTTTGAGGGTGATGGTGATGGGTGTTGTTTTGGGGGAGTTGGATTGAGAGTGCTAGTAGTAGCAGTAGTAGTACTAGTACTAGTGAATATTGGGGAATGATGGGGGATGGTGGAGCTAGATTTGAGTGTAAGTGAGAATGGACAGGAATGACCAAGTATATGGAAAATCAAATTTTAAGATCTGGCTAAGAAAGGATATGACTAGTTATATCTATAGCCTTGAAGTTCAGCTGCCTTATAATGGCAACTTGTCGGAATGATATGAGGGTCATGGAGTCACACTATTCCGATGCAGGACAGCCTATTCCGACGGTAAAGCAGGTTATGAGCCGATTTGGACATTGCCAATGGTTTCAATACATTACAGAGAATATTTACGTACCAAATCTGTTCCGATATGTAAACGGATAGTTCTTCAGGCAGACGTAAACTTCTGCTGGCGGTGTGGGGAAGATGAATCGGCGTTGGTGTCATGCCATGAGCAGATAGTAATGATACGAGGTCCGAAACCGGTATGGCGCTCCCGGCATGTCTTCACGAGTGCACTTCACAACACGATACGCCACTGCCAATCATGAAATCTATGTACTCAAATGAAATTCAGTATCATTAGGGCATACCGATTTGGATATGGATTTTGATAGACCAATCAACTTTTCAACACACCAAACCCATAGCAATAATCCACCACCAAAGGAACCCCATATAATACAATTCCGTCAACCCAAGCGCCGCGAACCGATTGTGAAACTCATTACGCCGTCTGCTTCATAAACCAGTCGGAGCTAGCATCAACCATGTAGTTCGTAATATTGGATTCGTTGCCAAAAGTGCCGTCAGGCATCTGCACGTTACCGTCGGGCGCAGGGTAGCTCATGACTCCGTCCATCGATACTGGGAGTCTGGGCATATTGAAGAAATCGAATACATCCAAATACTCAAGTTCGTTGGGTGCTGGTGTTCGAGCCGGAGTAACGGATGCCATCTTCGTGCTCTGGTTACTATTGAGCTTTGGCTGTCGCGAAATGAGGAAGTCCAAGTCAAATGCGCAACGTCGCATGTCCGCCAGGATCTTCACGGTCGAGGGCGTGACGCGTTCACCGTTGGCACCAGCGGGGGCTTGTTGGCTTTCTTGGTACTCTGATAGAACACGTGACAGCAGGCTTGCATAGCGTGTGCCGACCTCCCAGTACTGGCCCATGTCTCGAAGGGTGCTCACGAGGAGGTTAATCGATTGATCCACCCGATGATCAATGGTCGATCCATGAACCAGGAGAACTCGGGCAGCCACCCAGAGTGAGAAGGCAAATGGAGGGCCGAGTTTGCTCAGCAGCGCGTTGTCGCGCACAGTAGCGCATAGAGCAGTAATATTTTCAACGGCGCTGAGACACCTTTGACTTGCACTAAAAGACGGCGTAAAGATGGGTGATCTATGAGTGGGGTATGCTGCAGATGAATGCAAGCGGATGACGGTGCTAGAGGAGTCAGTACATCTGCTGGTAGAGTGAAGAATAGCGACTTACGTATGGAAAGCTGCGTGGAGCATGACCAAACCACTGTCGAGGTTTTGTCCCATGCCCGGCTTTGCGAATAGTCTGGCCGAGTTGCCGTATTCTTGCGGAAGATTGTACTTCCACTGCTCGATGGCGTTGTCGAGTTCTCGATATTCGCTCTGCCAGGACTCGACATCAGACAGAGACGTGATATCCACGGGCTTCTTCAAAAACTTGTGTATCCTTGTGAGAATGCCCAGAATCTCAATCAAGTATGAGAATGAGCCCAGATTCTCGGGTCTGTTCATGCTATAATCTGATCGTGCTGATGTATGGAACCACCTCGTCTCGACAGGCGCATTGCGTGCATATAAGTCGTCACGACACGGCAGACGACGGTCGATTTCCTTGTCGTCCAGAGCGAATTCGAAGGCAGTCGCGACCGTTGCGTACCGATCGAGAACGTAGACCATCCAGAAGAGCCTGCGCCGGCTCTCCTCCTCTATCCAATCCTTTGGTTCCGGCAGTGTCATGGCTCGCAGGGTATATATCGATGCAAACTGAGGAGCGACGCTTGGTGAATAGCTCTCAACCGACAAGCCCAGCTGGACCACGGAGCGAGTTATGAGCGCAAGCAGGTTCCATCCAGGCGGGCCATTGGAGCAGCCAACAACGTCAAGCGCAAGGATGACAAGGGCCTGCAGCGACTTGACCGAGCTGTTCTCTATGCCGTAGAGCAAAACCTTTTCCTTGGAATTCTTGTGGTATCGCGTGCGCTTCTCAGGCGTAAGGCGCTGATCCGTAGAGAACTTTACGGTTGTTGCGACAACCGAATGGAGTATGATTTTGTCGGCGTCATCGAGAGGCGTGTCTCCAAAGAGTGAGTTGAGAGTGCTTTGGCGGTGGAGGATCGGACACCAAGTGTTAATGTGCTTGAAGAAGAGGTCGACGAGCCCATAGAGCAGGTCGTAGGGAGGAAAATCTGCGTCGGCGTGGCCCAAGTTTCGTGCGATTGCGGGCTGAAATTGCTCGTTGTAGGGTGTGTAGGGCTCGCGCGTGAGGGCACCGCCCATGGCCGTCATGTCTTCGGGCGTGTAGCTGTGGCTGGCGACCGAGGAGGCGGGACGGTTGTCGGTGACGCCATTGCCGTATGTGGTGTGGATGGCACTCTGCGAGGGAAAGGTGGACTTTTGGATGAAGAGGGCGGTCTCGGGCCTGGGGACGTGAGGAGTGTGGACAATCGGCGGGCTTCGGAAGGCAGTGACGTGTTGGGGCGAGGGGCCGGAAGTCGCGACCTGGTTGTTGGTGAGGTGGTTGATTTGCGACTGCTGCTGCAAGAGGAGAGCTTCGAGCTTATCTACAGGCCGTGGTTGTCAGCTTTCGCTTGCTTAGTGTGGCGGATACGAGGATCTGAGTAATTCTTGAAGCTGGAGTCGGCCCATGGGGATACCTCGGCTACATATTTGCGTGTGTTTGTATGTACCCGACGCGGCAACTTACCAAGTCGCGACTCGAGTTCGCGCCCGTAGCCAGCTCGGAGGCCTGGCTTCTTACGTGGGAGGTAGACCTAGGCGTGGTTGAGTTTGCAGCGAGCACACAGGAGGCGGGCACGCTCACGCATGCCGAGTGGTTCTTCAGACACCACGAGCAGGCTGGCGAGACCCTGTCGCATTTCACTTTTCGCTGTTCTACACGGCGTCAGAAGATGAGACGGCGCGTGCATGTATACACCTCCGCATATACATATATGCTTCTGCCATGGGTGACTTACTGCATGTCTCGCAGCTCACGGAGAGCGGCCGCTTGCGCTTGTTGGATGCGCTGGCCTGGCCGCGGTCGTTGGCATCGTCGTCGGTGGAGCGCTCATCGCCACTCCAGTCATGGCCTTGTTCCTGAGAGTGCGAGGAGAACTTGGACGTGCCGTTTGGGCTTGCAGCTTGCTGGTGCGAGGCAGTGGCATCCATGGTGGACGATGCGACTGTGGGCGTGCAGCGGTGCGCAAAGGTTCGGCAGAGCGAAGACCGAAGTACAGCCCCGCCCGCGGCCTCCAGCCGTTACCCCAGACACTGGCGGCGGCGGCCAGACGGCGCCGATTGGTGGCCTCGGCGCACTCGGGGCAATGCTGATCTGCACCACCGGCCCATGGCCCTGCCCAAGCTTTCCCAATCATGCAGCCTTGCGCGTTGCCCTCCACTTGACGCTGGGTGCAACAGCGCCCGTCGCTCTCCTTTGTTGCACGTCGCAGCGAGATGGACCGAAGTATCCTCTTGCTGTGCATGTAGCCCACCATGGCCCTGCACATGATCCAGAGCCATTGAGTTCAAATATCCCCCACGTGCAACTTGCTACAGTCTGCCCCTCCTCTGTGCCCCCTCTCCCTCGTACTCGTCCAGCTTTCCCCTTCGTTCCCGACCAGAGTCACAATGGCTTCTACACAAACTTCTGCCACGGCGCGCTCATTCCCTACCATCAAGCATGTGCGCACCTTTGTAACACAGGGCCCCGGAAGTGGCGGAGACTATCACAATGTCGCTGGTGGCCATTGGCTCATTGACAGCAAAATCTCAACTCCAATGAGCCAGTATGAGCAATACCGCAAGTCGAGAACGAGCTGGGGAATCAATGTTCTGGGCTCCTTCTGCGTTGAGATTGAGGCCAGTGACGGCACCAAGGGCTTTGCCACGGGCTTTGGAGGCCCACCAGCGTGTTGGCTGGTTGCTGAACACTTTGAGCGCTTCTTGATCGGCCAGGGTGAGCATCTAACAAAAAAAAACCCCCCGGTACAAGCAGTGTTGACAAGATGCAGATCCCAGAGACACCAACCACATGTTTGAGCAAATGTACCGCGCCTCCATGTTCTACGGCCGCAAGGGTCTCCCCGTCGCCGTCATCTCAGTCATTGATCTCGCCATCTGGGATCTGCTTGGCCACATTCGCAACGAGCCCGTGTACAAGATGCTGGGCGGTGCCACACGTGAGAGACTCAACTTTTACTGCACCGGCCCTGAGCCAGCAGCAGCAAAGGCAATGGGCTTCTTTGGTGCAAAGGTACCGCTGCCCTATGGTCCTGGTGAGGGTGTCGAAGGCTTGAAGAAGAACGTCGAGTTCCTCACCAAGCACCGTGAGAGTGTCGGCCCCGACTTTCCCCTCATGGTCGACTGCTACATGAGCTTGAATGTGCCATACACAATCGAGGTGGTCAAGGCAACCGAGCACCTCAACCTCAACTGGTGGGAGGAGTGCTTGTCGCCAGATGACTCTGATGGCTTTGAGCAAATCAAGCGTGCTCACCCCCGGATGAAGTTTACCACGGGCGAACACGAATACTCGCGCTACGGCTTCAGGAAGCTCATCGAGGGGCGTAACCTGGATATCCTCCAGCCAGACGTCATGTGGGTTGGCGGCATGACGGAGCTTATCAAGATCTCAGCCATGGCTGCTGCGTACGACATCCCTGTTGTGCCCCACGCCAGCGGGCCCTACTCCTACCACTTTGTCGTCTCCCAGGCGAACTCGCCTTTCCAAGAGTACTTAGCAAACTCGCCAGACGGCAAATCCGTTTTGCCCGTATTCGGTAACCTGTAAGTGTCAACATTCGTGCTCTTGAAAATGTCTTCTGACCATCTGTAGCTTCACCAATGAGCCCATTCCCACAAAGGGCTATCTCGATGTCAAAACCCTCGATCTTCCTGGCTTTGGCCTCGACCTGAACCCGCATGCCGGATTGATCGACGCCACCCGCATCCTCAACCCTGCGCCACAAAAGGCCCTGAAGCCGGCCGAACCAGAGAAGCCGGCCGAGGCCAATGGGAGTGCGTAATGTTTGTATAACATAGCGGTGTTTATGGAGTTGTGTACATGTTGGTTCGGGTGGATTTCTTGGCTTGATGCATTGCGCTGGAGCACCAGATGTTTGCTTCTTTTTGTTCGCTGCTGGGTGGCTGGTGGCGGTCAGCGGCTGCATTTCCATAGCTTCCGTCACATGGTAGCTTTGAACACTGCAGTGGCAGCAAAAGCATCACTTGCAGATAAACAATACATATCATGTCATGTCTATAATTAGTAGTGACTGGTAGGCGCTGACGATCTCGCAAGCCTCGATCTTTGCCCATGTGCAGCAGGGACGCAAGCCGAGTGGGGCGACACGAAGCGTCAGAGCTGTGCTGTAGCCAGGTCCTGTACTTGGACACGCGGTGTGAAACCTGCAGCTCTGCCTTCTTTTTTTTCAACCACTCTTTGTGTACTTGTAGGCGTCCACCCCCTTCAATCAATTGCAATTGTTGTTCCCCTCATCACAACTACCCCGCCACAACCCCGCTTCATCATGGAAGCCATCAAGGATACCGTAAACAGCGCGCTTGAGAAGCTTCACATCGGTGGAGCTGCCCAAGGCACTCCTGCTAAGGAGCCATCAGAGGCCGAGTTCAATGAGCTCAAGGCCAAGTACCAGAAGGCTGGCCAAGATCAAGTTTTTGTGCGTGCAGCCTTCTCCGACTCCCATATTTTGGAGCATCTCAATGGATTTGATGAGCACCAGATGAATTGCAATCCACAGACTCGATACTGACTTCTTCTCCATAGGCTTTCTACGACAAGCTATCTACTGCCGAGAAGGCCTCGCTCTATGAGCAGCTAAGCAACTTCAACCCCGAATACATCAACGAGATCACCGAACGTGCCCTCCACCCTGCACAGACCGAAGCAACTGAGAACAAACTCGAGCCTCTCCCCGAAAATGCCACATCTTCAGTCCTCGACTCTTCGCAGGACGACCTCGACCAATGGTACAACAGCGGCCTGGAGTTCATTGCTAACAACCAGGTCGCAGTTGTGCTGATGGCCGGTGGCCAAGGCACCCGCCTAGGAAGCTCAGCTCCCAAGGGATGCTTCGACATTGGACTCCCAAGCCAGAAGAGTCTGTTCCAATTACAGGGAGAGCGCATCAGGAAGGCCGAGATCCTGGCTGCAAAGAAGCACGGCAAGGAAAACGTCACCATCCCATGGTATGTTATGACTAGCGGACCTACCCGAGGACCTACCGCCGAGTTCTTCGAGAAGCACAACTACTTTGGCTTGAAGAAGGAGAATGTCGTCATCTTCGAGCAGGGTGTCTTGCCATGCATTTCAAACGAGGGCAAGATCCTCTTGGAAAGCAAGTCAAAGGTATACCTCGACAATCCCCCAGGCGTGCCAGCCAATAACACATCAGAATGGTACTGACACAGGACAGGTCGCCGTCGCGCCTGATGGTAACGGTGGTCTTTACCAAGCCCTTATCCAATCTGGCGTCGTAGCCGACATGGGTAAGCGTGGAATCAAGCACATCCACGCCTACTGCGTCGACAACTGCCTGGTCAAGGTCGCTGACCCCGCCTTTATTGGCTTCTCTGCGTCCAAGAATGTCGACATTGCCACCAAGGTCGTCCGCAAGCGCAATGCCAAGGAATCTGTTGGCCTCATCCTCCAGAAGAACGGCAAGCCAGACGTAGTCGAGTACTCTGAGATTTCGACCGAGGACGCAGAGGCCAAGGACCCCAAGGACTCTGAGCTACTCAAGTTCCGTGCTGCCAACATTGTCAACCACTACTACTCATACAGCTTCCTCGAGAGCATCCCTGCATGGGCCAAGAAGCTGCCCCACCACGTTGCTCGCAAGAAGATTCCTTATGTCAATACCGAGACTGGAGAGACTATCAAGCCAGAGAAGCCCAACGGCATCAAGCTTGAGCAGTTCGTCTTCGACTGCTTCCCATTCCTTACCCTCGACAAGTTTGCCTGTATGGAAGTAAAGCGCGAGGACGAGTTCTCGCCGTTGAAGAATGCCCGCGGCACTGGAGAGGACGACCCCGACACGAGCAAGCAGGATATCATGACGCAGGGCAAGAAGTGGGTCCAAGCTGCCGGTGCCACGGTTGTCAGCGAGGACCCCAAGGAGGGCATCGAGGTCTCTCCATTGATTTCTTACGTAAGTTTTCCTAGTGCCACTGCCCCCGTTGCATGTATTGTATACTAACTGCAGTGCAGGGCGGCGAAGGCCTCGACTTCCTCAAGGCGAGGACAATCAAGGCTCCCGCTGTCATCGAGTCGGAAGACTAGACGGTGCTGTAGCATAACCGACACGATACCTTTTCGTGCATTCAGTCGTACACTGCGTACGGTTGTAAAGATACAATTTCTACTAGCACGGAGATTGCAAAATCATATATATATATGAATCAACATGAACATTGAAGCCAATGTCCTGGATGTCTAGCATGGGCACATGCAAGTCCATTATGAGTGGATATGTGGAAAGTTTCGTTGCTGTATATACCGAAGAAACGATGCACTGGTTGTTGCACAATCCTTTGACACCTGTGACGTTTACGAGACGAATCAGAGTGCGCCCGCCATTTCGAGGGTCTCGAATGGCTGTGTACTTTATGAAGCCAAAACGTGTTGGAGGTGGTTAGAGAGGCGAGCGGCGGGGAAACAAATGACTCCAGCTACTTAGTATCCTTCCTTATACCCTAACCCACTTCTAAAGCTATGTGTTTTGGTATCTCAAGTGGCTTCTGAGTACCTTTATCGCATACATCGCCGTATGCACTGTGAAGACAGCTTATTGTTTTATGACTACTGGGCCCATGTCCTCTTTTCAAAAAAAAATAATAGTATGTTAAAGCTGGAGAGGCGCTTTGACATGGGTCGTATGAACCTATCGTAAAACGATTGTCTTCTTTACCTTGATTACTTGCCTTTGTTGTACGATAAGAAAAGAACGTGATATAATCACGTGCCTATACCACGTGCGTATGTATATCCAGGACGTTAAGCGATGGCACGGAGCACAGGACCAGATGGGAGAGGGGCGGCAGCGGCGGAGGGGTAAGAGTCCAGAAATAGGGCCTCCCCCGCGACAGCGATAGGGCGGCAGATGCACGGCAATGGGCGACGAAACACGGCTAGGGTGAAGGGTGCATGGATGAGTGCACCTATGGGAAGGCGTATGATGCAATCTGCAACGGCTCGGGGGTTGTTGTTGCGCGCAGGTTTCGCCCTCGGGAACAGCCAAATTGCGCATTTCGCTAGCGCAACCGAAGCAGGGACCACAGCCTTGAGTGGTGCATTTTGCCCGTCGCCTGAGCATTCATTCCATTACATGATCTCCAGTCTCTCACACCACACATACTGTACACTCGGAGGAAGGTTGCTGAAGTGTTGTCGAGGGAAGGTCTGGAAAGTCGAAAGTACGTTGCGCCCGCCCAAGATTGCTGTTTCCCGCATGTGCGCGCCTGGGTCCTCTCGGCGCATGCCATCATGCCCCGTTTTACCCCTCGACCGCCGCCCCTCGAAAATTTGCGACTGACGGCAAGCCCAGGTGACGGAATCTAGAGAAGAACACGAAGCAGGTACTTGCGCCCCATGTCCAACCGTCTGCGCCTGCCCATTTCCCCGCCCAGACAGAGGCACCGCACGCTGTAGAGCAAACGCCCTGCCCAAAACCCGCCCCGCGTCCCACGATCCACTACCTTCTCCCTCTTCGCACAACCACCCACTGTATGCTCACGCCTGGCGCAGATTTACATCAACGAAGAAACAAGCAAACATGTCGTCTCTATCTCGTCGTGCGTGCTTCAAGTGCGGAAACGTCGGTCACTATGCCGGTAAGCAACATCCGAGTCACTGACTTGTGGCGCTCGTCGCAGTGACACAATTGCGAGGTATATGTGTCGATGCGATGCCTGCAATAGTGGCGCTTGTGTCGCGAGACCATGGGGATGGTGACGAGATATGCATTCAGCAGCGCGACTGACATGAACACGCAGAGGTGTGCTCTTCATCCGAGAGGCTCTGCTACAACTGTACGTCTGAATCCATGCCCACGCGCACACAAGACAATCCGCTAATCCCTCCATAGGCAAGCAGCCAGGACACGAGTCCAACGGATGCCCACACCCCCGCACTACCGAGAGTACGTCATTCAGAATCTACCACTTGCGCTACTTGTCCCACGCCGTACCGTGGTTACTATCTTCGCCCATTCGCAAAAGCCTGACAGACTGAGGCCACGACGAATTAGAATGCTGACGAAGCAACAGCTAAGCAGTGCTACCACTGCCAAGGCCTCGGACACGTTCAGGCTGACTGCCCAACTCTGCGGTTGAGCGGAGCTGGTACCAGCGGACGCTGCTACAGCTGTGGTATCGCTGGTCACCTTGCCCGCAACTGCCCCAACCCAGGAATGGGTCGCGGTGCTGGCGCTCCCCGTGGCGGTTACGGAGGCTTCAGGGGCGGCTTCGCTGGCGGCGCTCGCCCTGCTACTTGCTACAAGTGTGGCGGACCTAACCACTTCGCCCGTGATTGCCAGGCTCAGGCCATGAAGTGCTACGCCTGTGGCAAGCTTGGTCAGTATGGCTGACTCAATACGGTGTAGCGTCATTGACTTTCCACAGGACACATTTCCCGTGACTGCACCGCTCCTAACGGCGGCCCGCTCAACACTGCCGGCAAGACCTGCTACCGCTGCGGCGAAACCGGCCACATCTCTCGGGACTGCACCCAGGCTGAAGTCAACGGCGACTCTGCTGCTGCTCCCGCCGCTGCTCCTGTTCCTGCGGCCGTTGCTCCTACGACTGCTGTCGCTTAGACGGCTCATGAGCCCCACCAGCTCAAGCTTCGCCACGAGTAAAATTGTAGCGAAAGAATTAGCATTTACAGCATGCAGTTCCATATCTTTCATTTAGTTCGACATCTCTTGACAATCGTTTCCTAGCCTATCTCAGCATCTTTTCGGCAAATCTCACGCATTCACGAGTCATCAACGGTTTAAAAAAAGTTCTTCACAATTCTTACACTGATACCCACAAACATTATCCCTTCAACCATTCTACCATGATTTCGAAACAGACGACGGCTTGGCGATTTGGATGGTTGCTCTCTACCCTCTATGGATGTGCTTGCATCGGCTAATGTAGTGTGCGCATGCGCTTGGATAGTATGGTAGTGGCTTCCTATGGAGCTTGAAGGCGGCTGTGGTGGTTTGGGTGCAGACAGTTTGATGCAAAGGGATCGAGGTGGTTATGGAGGAGGGAAGAGTGAAGGAGACTGTGGTTTTTTGTCAGGAGCTGGGGTTAGCACATGTGCCCCGTGATTTTCCATCTTGCATCCCTTTTCTTCTCGGCTTTTTGGTCATGGTAGATTTATTTATGTCTATCATGCATACATGTTGTTTTTGCCAGTGACATGGCTGACATGTGTAATAACAGAAATTCTTGAAGCACTCGAGATCTGTATGTTTGTTTACTGTATCCTACAAGCAAGAAAATGTAAGCTGATTACTTGCACTTAATCTCGCCTCGTCATCAACCGCAATGCTTGCATATCATGTGCCAATAGCATCCTTTTCTCTATCCATTACAATCATAGATACTACCATTGTGATCCCTCCACGCTAGCCAGTCCTCCCGACGTACCTTCCCTCTCTCGCTTTCACCCCATACAGAGCCGAGCAGGTGGCTCGTTCCTTCCTATGGTGCTCGCTCCTTCCCAATACGCATGGGTACTTCTGCATTGGTCTTCACGGTCTTTGCTTTTCTCTCTCCATCTCTCTACCACCATCTTCCACCTTTCCCTTCGCCCTATCTCTTCACTTAACATCTGTATACTTGCTTGCTTCATAATTCCCTTCATTCAGCATTGCACCACTACTCAAATTGCTAGCATGGTGGCAGATTCAGTGGCTAGTGATGACGAGCACAACGATGACAGCTTCATCGTAGACATCGATGCAATCCAAGCCCACGGCATCGGCGCTGTCGACATCTCCAAGCTAAAATCCAACGGCTACTACACGATCGCTTCAGTGCACTCAGCTACCCGTCGTAACTTGCTCAAAATCAAAGGCTTCAGTGAGATCAAAGTCGATAAAGTCAAGGATGCTATTGCCAAGTGCCAGGTCAGTTGCGCCGAAGCAGTAGTGAGTGAGCTTGCTTTACTAAAAACATATGCAGCCTGGAGGTGGAGGCTTCCAAACTGCCCATGAGCTTGGACAACAGCGAAAGCGCGTCATCAAGATTTCTACCGGTAGCAAAGCGCTCGACGCGATTCTCGGAGGGTGAATGCATCTGCTCATATTCTCTCATGACGTCCGTTAACATCTTGCAGTGGCTTTCAGACCATGAGCATCAGCGAGGTGTTTGGCGAGTTTCGCTGCGGAAAGACGCAACTTTCACACACCATGTCTGTCATTGCACAGCTGCCAAAGGATATGGGTGGTGCTGAGGGAAAGGTGGCATATATCGGTGCGTTGCCCTCGTGTGATCATTATCTCTTCTGACTGTGATCCAGATACCGAGGGCACCTTTCGGCCAGAAAGAATAGCTCAAATCGCAGAACGTTTTGGTGTAGATCCCGAGACTGGTCTGTAATCCTGCCTCCTTGTCGACATTTGTACTGATACTTCACAGCGCAAGACAACATCACATATGCTCGCGCTGTTAATTCTGAGCACCAGATGGAACTCTTGAACAAAGTCGCAGAGTTCTTTGTCAGCAATGAGTACCGGCTTCTGATCATCGACAGCATCATGGCCCTCTTTCGCGTCGACTACACTGGACGGGGTGAGCTCAATGAGCGACAGCAGAAACTGAATCAGTTCCTTTCAAAACTGACGCATGTCGCCGAAGGTTTGTCATGATTTCCATGTTGCTCAACATTCAGCTGATGATCTGCAGAGTTCAATGTCGCAGTACTCATGACCAACCAAGTCCAAAGCGACCCTGGAGCAAGTGCTTTATTTGCCAGCGCCGACGGTCGTAAGCCGGTTGGGGGCCACATTCTTGCCCACGCTTCTGCTACGAGGATTTTGCTTCGGAAGGGGCGAGGCGAGGAGCGCGTCGCAAAGATTCAAGACTCTCCTGGTATGTCGACTCCAGCACGGTAAGCCTTTACCACTAATACCCCTTTCTAGACATGCCTGAGAAGGAAGCTACCTACATCATTACCAATGGCGGAATTAACGACCCGGAGAAGGTGTGATGGATGTTCGACGATTTCGCTTCTAAAGATCTATGGGTACTGAAAGTAAATTTCCATATGCCTGAAAGGTCTCCAGAACTTATGTACGAAGAGGGAGAAAGAGAATTTGTTTACGGACAAGGGGCTCTTACTTGCAACTAAGTACATGTCACAATGAAGGCCGAACCTACAAGACACGCTAGGTTGTTGTTAGCTTATAGCAGCATAATTTAAAGATATGTATATTCGTTCACAGCGTTTCTTTTGCGATGTCATGCTAAGCAGGACGATTTTTCGCATTACTTGTGATATCAACTAGATGATGATTACCTTGTCGTATCAAACATCAAGATTAGAAAAATACCCTTTCTGCATACTTGCATTCATCTGGGTAGGTAGTAAGAAAAAAAATAAACCAGCTCTGCGTGCAAACAAAAGGGGACATGAAAGCCATATCGATTTATTTCCAAGCCCCTATGAAAATGGTTTACACGCAAAACTAGTAAATATATTCTTCCTTTCCACCCATATATCAATAGATAGCTTTACTCATACCAACGTCACATAGCCAAACCCCTCACTCGCCACAACCTCCCCATCCATAACCCCATCCACATACGCCTCCCCAACCAGACTATACCTCCCTCCCCCCACGGCCCTCAGCACAAACGGCACCTGAGCCCCCTCAACAACCGCAATCGCATCCCTGACCCTCACCTCATCCGAACCCAACCCTAAATGGCCCCTTCGCGTGACAAACGGGACCCGCCCCAAGCTGCGTCCCGTGATCTGGAACGCCAGCGGGATTTCATGCCTAACTCTATCTGCAAGCGTCATGGTTAGCGTTTTCTGGGCACTCAAGAAGCGGCGCGCTTCGACTTTGCATCGGCCGGGGCGGAGAAACTGGAGGCCGTGGTGTAAGAGGATGATTGCGTCGCTGAGGTGCGTGGGTCCTGCGCGCTCGAATTCGCCTTGGGTGTTGCGTGCGACGTCGCCTGTTGCGGTGCGTGTTGCGGCGGATAGGCGGTCATGGAAGCGTTTGTAGCGGGGTTTATTAGGGGTGGCAGTAGTAGTAGCGGTAGGGCAGTAGGTAAGGCGGAGGATTTCGAGGAGCCATTGGGATGGCCAGGTGTAGGTTTCCTGGAAGGGAACGTCGGTGGTGGTGGTGCGGGTGGGGAAGTGGCCGATTTGGTGGATTTCGTCGAAGAGAATGGAGTGGAGGGAGATGTGTTTTATGATTCCAGCTTCTTTGATTATTTTGATTGAGTTTTTGGTGTTTGTGGGAGGAGGACCTGAGGCGCTGAATTCGGGGTACAGAGTCATGTGGTCGTTGCGCACGTCTTGCAACATGTCGGTTATTGAGCGAGACCAATCTGGGACCCAGGAGGGAAGGTTGGGGGACTGCGAGGGTTGACACATTGAGAGGAGGGATATATGGCCCTGTCGGAGTAGCGCTACCATGGTAGTAGTGTAGGTTTGTTCGTATGGAATATCATAGTTTGGGACGACGCCAAAACGTTTCAACTCGTCTCGATCTGCAGCCAGGCCTAGCAAGGCGAAGATCTTGTCCTCTGGTCTTGTTGCTTGGAGGTTATGAGGGCCGTGTTGTTTAAGATTTATGCTGCCGACACACGTCGCGCGGAGAAGGGCTACGAGTTGAAATGCGTTATGGCGGTGTATCTTTGGCATGGTTAGCATGAGGGTGGGAGGGTGGTGAAATAAAAGCCTCATAATATCGAGGCGATATTGTGTAAAGTGTGCTTGCTCTCTCTGGAAGGCAGTGGCATTGGCTTTCCAAAATGCCGCATACATGTGTATGAAAGCGTTGCAACGCGTCCTTGACAGTCGTTCGGCTCCACAAATGAAATGCGTATCCCTGGAGAGAGCAGCTTCTTGCAAAACCCATATCCTTGTCCACCACGGTCTGGTAAAGAAGTTTCTCAAGTCGGTAATGGGTAGCAGGTTACTCTGACTGCTCCTGCCACTAATGGAATCGAACAGGCTTTTCATTGCTTTACCGTACCATGGGTTGGCAGATACCACTCGCTGATATCCACCAGACACAAATTCGATTTCATGCCATATTTTTAGGCCTAGTTCGGGGGCATCCTCGAAACCACAAGATTCTGCCTTTGATCCAACGGTGTTAATGCAGCGGATGGCTACCTCACTGCTCTTATCTGCTGGTCCTAACCATACAAAGACATGGTCAGCCCATTCATAAATTTCTCTCATCAAGCCCACTTGAAAGCTCTTTTCTCTATTATTTTCCTGGTTGATACAAATGGCATCGATCCAGAAGAGAAGGGTCTGGCTGTGGGATCTAGTATAGGGTTTGAGTCTGGCTAATCTTTTGCGATTTTCTCGAAATTGCCATAGAGCCTCGTAAAGATTTCGGGTGGCCGCGATAGTTTTTCCGTTACACAGGAGAGATGCTGTGTCTTTTGCATCTCCCCATGTGTAAGAGAGTGCAGTGTATGGCGGATGGTCATTGACCTCGTACGTTTCGATACCAAGAGAGATAATTTCGTCGTCATGACCGAATTTAAGATCGAGTAAACGTATATGTTGATCCCTTATACTATCAGAGTATTGAAAATTTGCCCTTGCAGAGACTGTCAGTTGAAATATAGTACTATGGAAATGCTTCATGTGAGGGTCGCTTAGTTACGGGTGAAGGGGGGATGGGCGGGGTCTGTGACGAGTGTTCGTTTGAAAACAGAAATAAATCGGAGCAATTACTCGTGTAAATATTGCCCGAGTAATGGTGGATTAGTGATCGAGACTTCCATGGTGTTTTCTTTCGGCATACGGGTTTTGGGAATTGACCCTTGTAGAAGAATGGTTCTGTGCTATGCACACCTTTTAACAGAATAAGTCGAAGTCAAGGCTCAACGCAGAATATCAATCCTCTAATGCCACATATATGTAGCAAATAAGTTCACGCCATGCTTTGTTGGCATCTAGGCAACACTGCCTCCTGTATGGGTGTTGGCAAAGGCGCAGTTGGGGGTTGGCGGGGTGTTGGGGACCGGTGAGCTCTAACTGGAGGAAGGCGCAGCCCGTGAGCGACCCCCCCCCCCTTTCATTCGGAATACACGATGCAGAGATCCATGAGATCCATTTTAATACCATATCGTTGGAGATCGTCATAGCCTTGCGGGATGCATATTTCTGAGGCAGTACTAGTCATATTGATATTTCAATAACTCGTCTTCTGGGCAGTTGTCAGATGATACCTGGCAAGGCTGAGAAGCTATCAATTGCGCCACATGATGCACACATGGACGTCAACTAGAGGCAATGCATACAATGAAACAAGAGTTTCGTATTGATTATAACTATAGCATAAATGTCATATACCTAGAGGAAAGCCTGAAGGACAAGAACAAAGACAGCTGCTTGTCAAGGTATACACAGAAGAGAAGATGCGAACCCGTAATCTACAGCATCATGACAGCATGCTGGGACCGATAGATGCGCATGCAGGAAAGAGCGTTGAGGGTATATGGCGAAAAATCGAATAAGGCAGCCCGTCCAAATAGCGCCTATGATCGAAGAAAATAGAAAAACATAAAGGGCATAAGTGACGCAAAGTGGTCCCTTGTTAAGCGTTGATGATGAGATTTCGTTGACTGCTGTCCTCGGGATGGGCTCCGAAGACGAATCGATATAGCTCTGTGAGCCACTTGAAAGATTCGTTTTTGCCTAGCCATTGCACAGATCGTCCAATCTCAAGTGCTGTCAGTCGGCGAAGTGGTTGCGTGTGAATGCTGCGTAGAGCTGAGTCTTTGAGAACAAGCTTCCGATAGTTGTCGAACAATTCAGTTTGCCATGGTTCGTTCCCGAAGCTGTTTGACGGTAGTGCGCGAACGAAGTCTGGGAGTGGTGTTTGGCGGTTATAGCCAGTGTTGATGGCCGCCTTAACAATGAGCCCTTTCAAGCGTATCAGAGCAGGGTCTTCTCGACCGGCAGTGGCAGTAGAGGATGTGTGTACCGAAGCGTCAGAGTATGTTGAGAGATTAGAAGAAGACGAAGACCAGCGATCGTGGGTTCGCGTCAGACCGGCCTCTGGGCCGAGAACAAGAATGTTTGGAACGTTGGGCTCGTCTGAGGGAGAAAACTCTTCACGATCGTCGAAAATGGTAGTCGGAGTCTCTGGCTGCATTGGGGTTACTCTCCTGGTTTGCATGGCCGAGTGATATGATTCATTGATGCTCGAAGACCTCGCAGACCGTTCGGAGTATGCGCTCTGGGATCGATGTGACATAGAACTGCGCCCCACTGAAAAGCTGTGCTGAGACGGCCGTGGGGTGCTGCGATCAGGTCGGACTTGTGTCCATCCCTCACGGAACAAGTCACACAACTCCCAGCAGGCCTGAATGGCCGACCCAAGCAACTCCTCATCAGGGGGTTTACCGTCCCGGCTGTTTTGACGGAGGCTAAACAGCATTTCTGCGAGCGACCAACAAGCATGCAAGAGCGAATCCGTCTCCTCAGGAAGCGAAGTTCGTTGTTTCATAAGGCGATGGCAGAGGGTCAAGTAAAAGTCGAGCGTACGTTCACGGAAAGTCTCGGGCAATGTGCGGTCGTGAGCATTGTAGAGATGGTTGTTGAGCTCAAAGCTGACTCGCAGAACCGAGTCCGCCGCCTCATCGCCGCGTTGGCGCACGTCAAACAGTGCTTGACAAAAGTCACGGCAAAGTTCCAAGGTGGGCTGAATCTGCGCTGTGGGGTTCTCTTCTCGGCTCTCATAGAGTTTCTGGCATAATCGCCAACAAGTCCTCCAAGCATGCTCCTGCGAATCAGCGCTTCCGCCAGAGTAATGGAACATTCGCGTTCGATGACGTTGACTCAACTTTGCTAGTGAGTTGCACAGTATCCAGCATTCGTCCAGAGCACTTCGAAGACCGGCTACTTCTTTCTCTGTCTCGTGAATTCCAATGATTGCCTCTCCCATGGTCTGGGTGCCAATTGAAGCCAACTCGCCATCCTGTGATTGTGAAGACTGGCTATCGTCTTGATCAATGACAGAGCTTGAAGAAGAATCAGTGGCGATGTTGTCTTCGTACTCTGCAATGTCTATGAATGTAAGTTAGGGTCCAATACAATGGATCTGCGCACACGTACCAGCAAGGTTCAAGCTTTTACGAGCACTGCGTCGTCTAAAGTCCTCTTCGAAATCTTGTCGGGTTTGTGCACGCGGCGTGCTACGATCTGGAGCAACGGAATTCGAGACTGCGGTGTCAATTGGGGCGGTGAATGCAGAGGATGATGACGAGTCCTGTGTGCTGTTAGTGACCCCGAGCGCACCAAGACAAGCGGTGAGCTAACCTTGTCGTCCATTTCGGGCAGCATGTTTGCTTCTGGTGTCGACGGCGATACGACGACGGTGTTATCCGACATGTTTGCGCTGGACGAGGCGCCAGAAGTGCCCACCCGGCTCTGGTCCACACGTCAGCCATGTTGTGCAACAGCAGCTAGACAACAAAGAGGGGCCTTACGAATTGCTTGAAGCTGTCCGGGGCATGGATGACAGATGGCGGCGCATCGTCGGAATCAGCGCGGCTGACCGTGGTGTTGAGCTTGTGGGTTTGGGGCTGCTGGACGTATTAGAGGGTGAAGCGCATGTTTCTCAAGGTGGGCGTGACATGCCTTTGTGTGACCGTCTTGGCTCGCTGGGCTCACAATGTCGTCAGTAACCGGGGACCGTATGTCGCTCATGCCGTCCTCGCTAGGCGTGTTTTCCTGCGCATCGTCCTCAATCTGTGGTGGGGTTAGCCCCGCGTCGTCTCACTTGCATCCGTCACGTCGCGTACCTCGGTGTGGTCAGTGTGGCTAGTGCCGTTGCTGTCGACGGGGGAAGGGTCTACGGTTGCCGGATACGGGCTGGGTGGTGGCTGGAGGTGTTCGGAGGCATTTCCTGAAGATCTTGGAGAGTCCATGTTAGTGGGACGGTCGCATTGGTCTCCGAGTGGGGGGGAGGGCACCTATTTGAAAAGACGTGGGCAAAAGTGCCCGGCGAGCTGGGCGAGTCCGTGTAGGGGCTAAAGGCCGACATGGACTTAAGGCCACTTGGTGACGGCATGAGCTGCGTCGCGGTTGCCATGCCTCAGGCGGCGCTCTTTGTTCTAAGGGGGGGGGGACACAATGGGGAGAGAGCGCCAGAGCTGCGCCGGGTCAGCGCCGCAGTCAGAGGTGCTAGGCAGTGGTGGGTTGACCAAGGGCAAGGCTGAGCAGCGAGTCAGGAATCAAAAGGCAATGCGCGGCGCGGAAGACGTTGGGCGTCTTGGTAAAAAGAGAGACGGAACGAGGCTTATCAAAGCAGACCAGCTGCCGGGAGAGGCTCAATGTGCTGGGGAGCGGCGGCGGCGGAGGAGGGTGGAGGTGGAGGTGGAAGTGGGAGTGGGAGGGGAAGTGGTAGCAGTGGTGGTTTCAACACACAGAGCAACTCTGCCTCGGTGGAGACGGTGAGCTCAGTCTATCGAGGCAGGCGTCAAGCTGAAGGAGTTATTAGCTAGGCAGGCGAACGCCCTCGACAGCGGCCCATGGCCCGCTTACAGCTGGCCGTTCACCACCACCTGGCACATCAGACGAATGGCCGTCGGCGGTGGGGGGCTGGGCTCCAGGGATCAACTGCAGCTTTAAGCGCCCGCCGACAGGCTGCGCCCTCTTCCTGAGTGCCAGTGCCAGGAAACACGACGCTGGATCCCATACAGTCGATCCGGCTCACCGGCCTGGCGGGCGAACGCCTGCGGCTTGTTGCAGTTCTGGGCTTGTGGGACAAGTCGGCTTACTCTTCCATCGTGTAGCAATCCTTTCCGTCGCCATCATCATCGCCATCATCATGATTACCCCCACCACCACTACCACCACCACCATCAGCATCCCCATATCGGCGAACGTTGCTGCAGACAGCTAGGACTGGTCTGGGTAAGACGCTAATGCATCCTCTCTCAAAACGCTCCATCATGTGCATGGAGACTGCTGTGAGGATGCGGCACAGCAGCGTCTCCCCCGTCTGGCCCTGTGTGCTCAGTCTCCAGTCCCGGCCCCATCGACATCGACGTGGCCGCCTTGCAGCAAATCCATCTCGCCCGCTTGTGATTGCCCTCCTCACTCGCAGCCGCCCGCAAGCCCATTGCATGGCCAGAGCCTCTTCTCGCTGCCATGTTGATACCGAGCATCCATTGCCATCCCTCACACACTCCCGCTACTAGCTCATCTCCATCTCCACCTTTTACACACGCACACGTTCGGCTTTCTCCCGCTACCATGTGCTCGGATGCCCGAGTACTAGCCAATCAGATTGCTCAAGTCAACTTTATCATGACATTTCCAACTTTTTTTTTCCTTTTCCTAGCCTACCAGGATCACCACCACGCCCTTGTGTACCGTATTCCTCTCCGAGACGAGGCGCCCTTGTTGGCTAGCTTTTTAAGTTTTTTTTTCTCTCTGCATTCGCACACGCGTACGATGCAGTAGCCCTTGTTGATGATGCGACCTGCGCCGCTCCCGCGTTTGACATTAGCCGCGCACAATGCCTGTCAGTAGGCGCCGTGGAGTTGATTTTTTCTACTCGACCAGCAGCTTCAGCCTCCCCAGATGATGAACACGAGACAGATGCTACTGCCCACATTGACTCGTCTCTCACCACCATTGACAAACCCAATTCCGCCCAACTGTGCCATTGCCGGCGACGTCAAAGGCACCAATGGCCCATGCATAGGGCACGAGGCGCGACCGCCGTGGATGCGTCTGATGCCCCACTTGCTTGTTGACGACGCTGACTCTGAGTACTTACTCTGGAATAGTCTACCACTCGTCCAACCGAGCCAGCCCCGCCCTCCCACTATCCGGCGCTTATCGCCATTGTCTCTATGGCACATTCGCGCCTACATCCACATCAACCACCAACCCGTACCGGATATATCCAAGTTTAGACCGCTCCATGCATCAAAAGACGCGATAGACGATGGCCTGACGGCGATCCCTTCTGGTGACCGCCACGCCAGAGCCCATTGTTCTGATCAGCAGCCAAGGCATCCCATCCACGACATGAGTATACCAGAGCCTTCAACAAGGCCTGCTAGCACCCAATCAACTGTCCAACTGCCCAACAAAATGCCGTGCCCTACCACCAACTACCAACAGACCATGCTCTTCAAGGCACAGTCAACCACATTTTTCACGTACTTACACACCGTACTAATCCCAGGTCCTTACCCAACCACCCAAACCGATTGGACAAAAGTCCAACAGCCCAACTCCAATCACCCAACCGCAACCCAACACGCCACACTAAAAATCTACCGGCCACGCCCACCGCTTCACACATGACACCCAATCTACAGCGATAATCCTCCCAGGAAGACTACTTCTTAGTCTCTTGGAAATGCTGTCTTTTCCTCTTAACCCACGAGTCACTGCAAAAGCCAAGCGAAACAAGTTTGTCCCTCTTCTGCTGTGTCCAGTCAGCCCTACCATAAAGCTTCACCGACACATGTACTCTACACTAGTTTGACACAAAACATGCTTGTTGTCTCACAAACCCAAACATTAATCTTCCATCGTGGAGCAAAGTCTGCCTCGGGGGAAAATAGAATAGAATGGACTTTTGGGTGCATTATGCGCGGAATGTACGTGTGTAAGTAGACGCCGTGTAGTGTACATGCAAGCGCCATGTTTTTTTTTTGGAAGGAAAGAGACGGTTGTTAAGGATTGGCGGTTGAAGTCCCGTCTTATTTCCGTCCAGTTACAATGCACAGTGCTAATTACCACCACAAAACATTGGAAACGTACCTTTGAACACTAAGCTGGACCTGACCCGTTGCAGTCATGAAAAAAGGAAAGAAAGCGGCTCAATCTCACATTTACAGCCATCAAGTTCAACCCCAGCAAGTCTCAACACTCATCACCACACAATTTCATCTCAATTTGAGTCTTTGAACCATTCATTACGTCATCGCATCTATTCCCCCTTCCCCTTCTTCTTTTCTACCGCAACACTCACTTCATCTTTGAAATACTAACCACATTCCTCAACGTCCCAAACGGCAACACATCGGCAATGCGCTTCTTATTCGCAAACAGCATGACCAGCCTATCTAGTCCACAGCCCCAACCCCCTGTCGGCGGCATACCCCACTCAAGTGCTTCAAGATAGCTCTCGTCGATGGCTCCGTGTCCCTCGGCCTGGAAGTCCAGCTGCTGCATAAACTTTCGGCGCTGCTCAAAGGGCGAGTTTTCTTCTTCGTAGGCGTTGACGTATTCGCGGCCGTGTATGAAGAGCTCTACGCGGGAAGCAACGCGTTGGCCCGTCGCTTCATCTACATAGGATTTGGAGAGTGGTGAAAGAGCTTCTGGGTGCTGTGTGATGAACGTGGGGTTCTGGCATAGTGGCTCAATGTACGCTTCGGCTAGACCGTCGAGTAGACGCGGTAATGTTGGGTTTAGTGGGATGTCAAGGCCGAGGTCTTTGTAGAGCTGTAACACTTTGTTGGCAGCGTCGGGTGATGAGAGGTCGGGCAGCTTGCGGCCGCTGGCTTCTTCAATTGTAGGGATAAAAGGGAGTTGTGCAAAGGGCTGTGAAAACTCTACGCTTTCCGGGGATGTCAGTGTGGGGAAATATGTTGAGCGCAGTGATTCGATTGCGGTGTGTAGACCGTGGATCAACTGCTCCGTCCGGGCAATGACAATGGGCAATGTAGCGCCAACCTCGTAGAATTCGCATGTGGAGAATTCGGGGTTATGCGTATTGTCCACGCCCTCGTTCCTGAAGACGCGCCCGATCTCGAAAATCTTGTCTTGCCCTCCGATGATGAGGCGCTTTAGATTCAGCTCCGGCGCTATCCGCAGGCGGATTGGTATGTTGGAGAGCTCGTTGGCTACAGTTTCAAAGGGACGGGCAATGGCACCTCCAGCATTGACGTCAAATATGGGTGTCTCGACCTCCATGAAGCCGCTCTCAATGAAGTAGGTACGGACGTAGTCATATATGAGTGCTCGCAGGCGGAGAATATCACCTGGCTCGTCGCTGGTAAGGGCATGGATGTGCGGCCGTCGCGCAAGCGTCTCGGCATCTTCAATCTTTTCAGGCAAGTGATGGAGGCAAGGGGCAAGGACCTGGGGCACTTGGAGGGCGAGGACGGAAAGCTGCCCGGTTGAGGTCTTGGTTGGATTGCCAGTGATTGCTGCCAAAACTTAGCATGCATCCCAGGCAGAAGGCGGGCAACATCACGTACAAATCCAATCGCCGATTCTAGCAACTTTTTTGAAGCTCTTGAAGCTTTCGTCAAGACCATCTTGCGGGGTGAGCTTTTTCAATTCCACCATGACCTGGAGTCGCTGTGTGTCGCGCTCGATATCAAGAAACATCAACTTGGAGCTAAGCAGCCGCACTGAGCGCACCCTTCCTGACGCTGTCAGAACGGGAATGTTTTCTACTCACGGGTGGTGGCATATCCTACCGAGCACGGACACGACATCACTTGTGGTTTCTGATATGTCATGGTACTTTGCATTAAAGTCGCGTACCGACAGGTTCTGGACATGGGCCGAGTAGACCAGTCTTGGATGATAGTCACCCAATGGCTTTACTTTTGCCAATTGGTCGAGTCGCTTCTGCTTCTCGACATCGTGCGGACCGATGTATGTGTCGGCGGCTATGTTCTGCACGAACCGTCTCTGAAGCGCGATGTAGGCTTGAGCCTGGTGCGGCTTGAGAGACCGACTAGCTCCATGGAGGTAGGGACGCAGGAAGCTGAAGGCTGGCTTGCTCATGTTTCCTTATGGTATTGTTAGCCACAATGCGCACTGATTCGCCAGGAGAAAACGGTAATGGTTGAGAGGGTTCAGTAAAGGGTATGGTGAAGTCAACCGCCCCGAAAGGCGTCATTCGCAACGGTTCTAAGGTTGTTTTGGATCATCATGTGAAGGGGGCTGTATTGGCTGGATAACTAGCCAGAGTACAAGGCACATGGGTGCAGAAGAAGAGAGGAGACAGTACTAACCTTTGTCACAGGCACGCCCATCTCTACAGAGACGAATGGCGGCATGCAGTGCAGAGAGAAAAATCGTCGTGACAGAAAACTGCCCAAAGCCCTGACCAGCGGCGGTGCGCACGGGTCTCGCGCTTTGGGCACGGCAGCCTGGGCTAAGCGAGCACGTGACCCTTCCACTAGCGTGTTGCCAGCGGGTATATAAACTCGCCGTCCCCCGTCCCCTTCTCGATTCCTCATACTTACCTTCTTGCGACGCACTGAGCTCAAGTATTCAGTGGTCTGACAACGTCGCCTCCATTGCACAGCGGGGTGTGGTGTTGTCATGAATCTCCTTCGGGGGCTTCAGCGGGGCAATTTTTGCTGGTCTGCCACTGTGGCATTTCTTTTTCATTGATTCCGTTGCCTGGTGCAGCGGGTTGAGGAAGAAGACGACATGGCGTAACTATTGGACTGTGCCTATCAACAGTGTTTGCTCTGAGGTTCGATATCCTACAGTGTCGTACACGGTACAATATGCATGCTGTATGCCCTATGCCCTCTTGTCAGGTGTGCCAATAAGCTTTCCTCATTGATAACTGGCTAGCGTGTTCCGATGCAAGTCCTCAGGTCCCATAGGCACGTCTCGCTACCCACACTACACCCTTAAACGCCTATCCATACCCACGATAGCATCCAGCCCACCCATTTGTACGATGTCTTGGCCATCGATGTCTGATTGTTCGACGTCTTCTCACCTCGCAACTTTTGCCTCTCTTGCCATTTGCTCTCCAAGAACCGGACTTGCGCCACAAAATTCTCATACTTGTCCAAATTCTCTTTATCCTCTCCATCAAGAGGCATGATATGCCGCCACATTCGGCGCCGGAAGTCTGGAATAGTGATGCCCTCATACCCCATGCAATACCTAAATAACTGGCCCATGACCGAAGGCTGTTTGTTTGACTTTGCGCAGAGGTCAGGACCATAGCTGATGAACAGGTCAACCGTTTGGAGAAGGATTTGCTCCACTTCTTCCGAAGGCCGATGATCCCCAACAAGCATGATGTAATCGGCAAGCAAAGGCTGGTCGTTGTATGTTACGTTTACATCAGCGCCGTGATGGAGCAGGAGCTCAATGAGGCGGTGCCGATGCAGCACGCTCGAGACGTCCTGTGCGGGACGTCGACCAGAAGGCAAATGCGAAATCTGAAGCAAGAAACGGCCGCATATTGAACAGTCGCCGTACATCTCGTTGGGATCTGCACCTGATTCAAGAAGATAGCGCACCATGTCCAAGAGCTCAATCTCCCCGCTGAACTTGGAGGGACATATTCGCAACGCACAATCCAACATGGGGCGACCGCCGGGCAGCCTGATGCCGGGTCTTGCATACATTTTCTGCCCCACGTATATCTGCAGACCCTTCTGGATTGTGTATTCGAAAAACGAACTGCACGCTGCTTTGCGTACGTTGTCGCCGACGCCGTCATAGTCGCCAACGGCGCTATCTCGATACCAGACAAAGTCTTGCCCTGCTTCTTTCGAGATGGCATCAATCACCGCCCCGAATTCATTGATCAGATCACGGTTTGTCGACTTTGTCCGTATTTCTATTTCTCTGGCGTAGAAAAATGCTTCCTCCAGCAGTTGCTGTACAGGGCCCGATTGATCTGTTACGCGTCGTTGTGACAGAGGCATGGCTTTCAGCAAGACCAGGTAGCCACGGAGTATAGATAACTCGGGATTGAAACCAGCTTTGGTCTTCCCAGCCAATAGCCTTTGCATCTCGTTCGTCCGAAGAAAGTCGTGCACTGTTCGATGCAAAAAGTCGACGCGATAGCCAAAGTAATCCGTACCTGCAGGATCTTGTCGCGCTTCCAGAAGTCCCTTTGTCTGCCCGTTGAGCCGTCTCCGCATCTGCTGATGGCGCGCACTCAACTCGTAGTTGTCCATTGGCTTCACTGGCCTTTCCAGTGCCGACTCGCCGTTCTCCATCTCCTCGTCTAGAAAGCTGTACGCCATCAGAGTCAGTGGTGTTGAGGCTGCAAGCGCAATCTGGAAACTGCGTGCCATGTGCTCGTGATAGATGCCGTCGATCGAGTTTAGCATGTGTCCGAAGAAGGCTTCCAAGTCGGTGGGCAGTCGCCGCAGTCGTGAGAAGAGAAGCGCTATCGAATCGCCGTTGGTAAGTCCCTCCAGCAGTGAGTTGACAACGAGCAGTACCCAGAGAAATACTCCCTGTGCTTTATTCGTAATCTCTTCTAGCAGCTCCTTGAAGCGTTTATCCTGAGAGGTGGGAAGTAATTGCGCAAAGTACTCATCAAAGCGGTGTTTGACATAGACTTTGATATCCTGGCGAGTAAGATCCTGCAGATATAGCTTTCTCGTTACATCATGACCGTAAGCATCTTCAAAGATATTCCAAGGCCGACTCGAGACGCAGATTTTGATATTTGGCGACTTCGCCAAATTATCCAGTACTTTGATGACATCAAAGTGCCGACCATCATACTCATCCAGTCCATCGATAAAGAAGCAAAACTTAGCAGCCATCTCTTTGCAGTGAGTAATCCGTCGCACCATATTCGACAGATCGGAAAAGTCCCAAGACTCATCCTCCTTCATCTGGGCTTCCCACGATGTCCCATTCTCGGGACAAGCAACTGAGATGACTTCTGGACACTGCTTGAATATATCGAACAGCAGCGACTGTAACAATCCTTTAAGCGATTTCTGCATGGTGCTCCCAGCACTCCAGAAAAAGTACTTGGCAGTAATGCAGCGCTCGCCCTTCGCCCACAACTTGAGCGTCTGACGCGTCCGCCGGTGCCCGCAAATGTGCTTCATCAGCGTCGATTTCCCCGACCCCGGCTTACCCGACACCCAGAATATGCCATTCTTGTGTGTGAGCCAGTCAAGAAAGTGGACTGGGGGACGGGAATGCCGGGACTTTTGCGACGGCGGTCGGAAGACCCAGTCGAATGTTTGCGCATGTGCTGAGGCAACGTTGGAATGGCGTGTCTTCATGGATTTGAAGTATAAGCTGGATAAGACCTTTTGGGACTTGGTCAGGTATCGGCCTTCGGCGACCAAACTTGTAAGGGCGTCTCCGATGGCTTTTAGGTCTTCGGCCTTGATGGCTGATCCTTCTCGCGCCAATGAAGCTTGAGCTTGCGTTGCGTCCACGGCTATATCGCTTGTTTCTTTCGAAAGCCGGTCTAGCATCTGTGTTTGATTGAGTTCCATACGCATGTTGGCCTCTCTTAAGGCCCGAAGCTGGATGTTTATTGTCGATTGTCGATCTCTGGATGATACTATCAGCTAGACTTCTTACGTCGATTGAAGAAATACAAGGTCGACTCACCCCAAACTATATGCGAGACCTAGGGTCAGATCTCGACGGTGGCTGTCCAGATTTCTCTGCAATTCTTCAATCTTGCTCTTCTTCCACACGCCCCGTGCCGCTTGGAGAAAGCTCTGGTATGACCGGTGATTGGCATTTTGCTTCACCTGTAACTTCTGCAACAAAGCTAATAGTTCGTCCGCTGTAGACTTGCAAGATGTAGCAAGATCCACAATGGCCTTCTCGCCAGAGGTGAGGTTTCGAGGGTTCGAGTCGAAATGCGAAGTAGACAGCTGTCTGGTGAATGTGTTGAGGTAGTTACAGGTAGTTTCCAGCTCCAGCTGAGCGGTTGACTGCCCCGTTACCGATGTTTTGAGCTCACGTGCTTCGGAGAATAGTTTACAGGCGAAGTCGACGAACTGGACAATGTTTCCAGCCAGACCGACCGCTGTGAATGGATCCATGACTATTTTGAGGCATGTATACAATGGGATGGTATTGCTTTCCAACAATGTAAATGCAACAAGAGGCACAAAAGAGGCATCAGACGTGAGATCGAAGTCTAGATTAAGATCATGTGCTCATTCATGAAAAGGCTGTGTCAAGGCTGTGCGAAGGCTGCATGAGGGCTGTGCCAATGTAGTAGCTAGGCTACAGCGCGCCATGTTGCGCAACATGTGGAGGGGTCATAGTTGCTAACGATGAACATTCATTGTACCATCAACAGATTACCCGAGCATTAATGTGTGCTTCAATATAGACGATGGCCTTTGTTCCGCAGAAAGGGACATTGCTTTCTCACGCTGTAGCCTAATATATGCTAAAGGCTGTATCCGCAGCGTCTTTGACTACGTAGAAGTGCTGTAGCCTCTCCCTGTCGTGTGGCGCACGCTTTCTCATGGCTGCATACTCGACTTCAGCTGATGGGGTAGTCTGACTCGTATTGGCTGTGCTGAGCTTGCCTGTCGATCTCATGTACCACACGCTCAGATGTAGTCTTTGCACCAAAGCATATGCATGGTTGCTTTCAATGTTTCTTCAGAGGCATCGTGATTGTTTTTCCTATTGCGCAAAATACGCCGAAGACACGCCTTTGTACCTGCATTAGACATTGCCCAGTTTCCCTTCCGGGTACCCGCGTCTGCGTTACGTGCATATTGCCCAGATGCTCGACACATGGAAGCTCGCGCAATCCTCCATCATGGTCCTCAATCCCAAGGATATAAGTCCTTTCTGGTGCCGTGTTCTTTTCCATCATAGCTTCACGTCGATCTGGACGCCTCGACCCCGTTGCTTTCGCGCTACTCTCAGCCCACAACTCCTCAGTTAGTTTATCGCTGCCAACCACATCAGAATTACAACACGCTCGATTCATACACACGCGCCGAAGATGCCGATTTGAAAAAGCTTGGTCTGGTCGGCCATCGTTGCCTGTCTAGCTCCAACGGCGATCACCAAAACGCGTGGTGCCCCGCCATGACATCGCCATGACGCGTGCCTAAAATGTTCACCACCAACACACACATGTGCCGCTGCACATGGCAACCCCATATTCACCTCGCATAGCGGACATCTGCCCCTCCACAGCATGTCATGACGTTAGGCTAGCCCATACAAGCGCATGTACAAGGGGGGAGAATTAACCGCTGGTTCGTGGTAGCTGTAGCAGGGCTGCAGATTAAACGTCACATTTTCACCAATATGTCATCGATCTGACTTCAGACGCAGTTGAAAAGGTAGACTTTCTGCTCGTACTGCTCTTGGATTTCCTAATTCTCCATACTCTATTGAACTTCTCCAATTATTTCGCTTGACATCTTCGTATTTCATTCATCGGTAATACTTTGCAACAATCGCCCAAGATGTTGTCCCAAGCCGCCATGCAGGCGGAGAAGGCTGTAGGCCACTCAGACAACGCCATCACTACCCAAGATGTCACCAACCCTGGAAACAATGAGGCCTGGGGAGACAACTCGGAAAAGATGAAGGCATTGGCATGGTTCGGCAAGAACGACGTCCGCATAGTTGAAACCCCAAAGCCAAAGGTCATTGAGCCTCGCGATGTCATTATCAAGGTTACTGGATCCACCGTCTGTGGCTCAGATCTTCACTTGCTTCACGGCTCCGTTGTAGAGATGCAGAAGGGCGACATTCTCGGTCATGAGTTCTGTGGTGTTGTCGATGAGTGCGGTTCCGAAGTTACCAAATTCAAGAAGGGGTACGTTTGATCTGTTCCATTGTATGCGAATACATTGCTAACATGGTGTAGCCAACGCGTTGTTGCGTCCTTCCAGATCGCCTGCGGTGATTGCTACTACTGCAAGCAGAAGCTGTCTTCCCAATGTGAGAAGACAAACTCCAACACTATTGAGAACACAATGTACGGCGGCCGGACTGCTGGCATGTTTGGATACTCCCACTTCACTGGAGGATTTGCTGGTGGCCAGGCAGAGTACACCCGTGTTCCATACGGTGACGTGAACCTGCTGCCACTTCCCGATGATGTTCCAGATGAGCAGGGTCTATACCTCTCCGATGTGCTGTGCACTTCATGGCACGCCGTTGTCGACACTGGCGTCAAGAAAGGCGACGTTGTTGCCATATGGGGAGCCGGACCAATTGGACAAATGGCTGCAGACTTTTCCTTACTCAACGGCGCATCCAGAGTCATCATGATCGACTCCAACTGGCGTCTCGACTTCATTAAGAACAAATACCCCCACATCGATACTCTTGACTTCTCTGCTCTGCCTAAGGGAGAGTCAGTAACAAGCAAGCTCAAGGAAATGTGCAACAACCGCGGTCCTGATGTCAGCATCGAGTGCGCTGCCGGAGAGTACGCAAAGGGCTGGGCACACTACTTTGAGATGATGCTCGGCCTCGAGACCGACACCAGCGAAATCGTCAACGAGATGATCTCCAGCACACGCAACATGGGCCGCTGCGGTATCACAGGTGTCTACGTCGGTTACACCAACCACTTCAACATCGGTTCGCTCATGGAACGCGGCATCCGCCTCATTGGCAACGGCCAAGCCCCGGTCCACATGTACTGGGAGTCCCTGCTCCAGATGATCCAGGAAAAGCGCATCGACCCATCCAAGATGGTCACTCACCGTGTGCGTCTTGAGGATCTCGACAAGGTCTACTACAAATTTGAGAAGAAGGAGGATGGCATGCAAAAGGTGTTTGTCGAGACAAAGTGGAGTTTCCCGGCCTCCAAGAGCAGCCCTGAGTTGACTAGGTACTGATTTATAATGATGTAAAGTAGATTATTTGTAGCTTTGTGATACCAATAAGAATATAATGTTAACAGCTGTGAACGAAAAGAGATCGTCTTTGATTTGATATTGAGTTTTAGCTCGTTACTACCTTTTTTTTATACCTATAGTTACATTTTGTTCACAAAACATCAACATGGTATTACGAAATGCACAGCACAAAGCATCCGATGCTCATCGCTCGTCCCCAGTCTCCTCCAACGCATACCGAAAGCAGGGACTACGCGCTCAATCCCTCGTCACCTCCGTCTCATTGAGACCCCAGCTTTCCATCTCCTTCTGATAAGTCCTCGCCATCTTCTCCTCGGTCCACTTATCCCTCACCAACCAGTACGTCGAGACACTGTAAAACTGCCACGCAAACGCCCAAAAATATCCTATGGCATACTCTGCATAATTAACCCACTTGGCATCAGGACCGTATCCCAAGCTCTTCCTCACCTTCCTCCAGCAACACACCACACCGCCCTCGATAACTAGCGGAACCATCTGACTCGTGTACATGAAGGTAATGGCCCAGATATCGGACCAGGGAGCAACCTGCCACCGCACCGCCGAGTGCATAAGCCCGGAAAGGAAGAAGACAAGCGTATTCTCGACTAAGCGCGTGAACATGTTGCGCGGCATACCGAGCCAGCCCCTCGTCACGCACTTGACATGGCCGCTAAAGGAATGGTAGATGAAGTTGTGCCAGTAGTGCCTCCAGTACCGTCGCACCGACCACGCAGCAGACAGGTTACCAAAGAGCCCCAGACCCCATTCCTCTGGGCCGTCGATGCCCAGAGCAACGTGGATTATGGCGAAGACGCTGTGGTAGCTCTCGTACATCCACTTTGTCGGCACGTTCCAGGAGAAAGCTTCCTCGGTGCGCCAGTAGACTTCTCGCCAGTGCAGCGAGGAGGGGAGGCGGCTGAAGAAGGGGATTTGGGATTTGTTGGCGTAGGCGTCTGGGTCTTTGCGGAAGGGGGAGACGTGGTAGTCGTAGTATTCCCACGCGCATGCCTGGGCGTAGAGGCGGAGGGTTTTGAGGGTGTGGTAGAGGACGAATTGCCAGCGGGAGTAGCCGTGTTGGTAGCGGGCTTGTGGGGTGTGTTGTTGCGACTTTTGCTCTGAGGTATTGAGTGCATCGTCCGTCTTCTTTTCTGAAGCAATGAGACTCTGCTTTTCCTCGACGTTGATGCTGTACACTGCTCTTGACAGACTGTTGTATTCCTTTTGATGCTCCTGTAGATGCTGTTGCTGCTGCTCGACAATCTGGACATGGCTCCGGTCAAAGAAGACCTTGTATGCTTGTTTGATGCGCTCCTTCATTTCATTTGGGCCAGGACGCACGTCGGGCTTGAATTCCAAGATGCATACTTCGTAGCTCATGTGTGCGAACCAGATGATACATGCTCGGGCAAGTGTATCGACGTGGTTCGAGTCGGGCGAGATGTAATCGCAATATCGGAATGTGAAGAACGCCGGTACGAGGAGGTATAACATGGATTGTTTACGGGCGAGGGAGGTGGCGGGCGGGTAGGCGAGGATGTAAATGCCATATGCGATGGTTATTGCGAGTGGCACCGCCGCTACTGGCATGATAGATAGACTCCAGTCTGGGTGCACATAGCGGCCAGGCATCTTGTGTGATCGTATGAGCTGTGTGTTGAACTGGTGCAAGTCGATGAAGTTGCAGAGCTGGGCAGAAGAAGTTGAGAGCGCTGATGAAAATAGTAGGTGCGCGCTGCTGGAAATTTCACTTTGCACAAATTCGAATCAAGTGAGCGTGGGGTCTTGCTTCACCATCCGTGGTTGGGCAAACACTTCCGAGATGAAGCTCGTAAGACTGGCTCATCCAATTCCCTTTGTGGGAAACCAAATCACTTCCATACATTGGCACAAACATGACCTCATGGGTTTTTGTAAGTGGTGAAAGGGTTAAACCACTCATATTCATTGGGCCTGCGGTGCAAAGGTTCTGCTTATGATGCAGGTTTGGGTTGGTTTGACGATGTAGTGAATCGGCTTTCACTGGACGATGATGCTGTTTTCATCCTATATAATAGGTGAGTGAATTGTATTATCAAATAGCTGCAATACCTCATCACTCCATCTGGAATCTGGATCAGGGTTAGCAACCTTTTGGTATGTTCCAGAAAGCCCTCTCGCGACCCAGAATTGCAGATTGGGGTGGACACAAAACTACAATTTAGGCCTTTTGGTCATCACCGAATGACCTTTTCATCATCTTGTTTAAGGTAAACATCCACACCATCATTCGAGGTCCCTGGTTGGAAGTGTTCATCTCCTCGTAGAACGGACAAATTGGACACAAATGAGCATATCCATACCGACTGACACATTCTGATTAAGCTGTAAGAACAGGATGCATCAGCCATAATCCCAATTTTCTTGAGAACTACAATACGATGCTCAAAATAGTAGATGCTACTAGTATTATCTCGTATTATTCAGCAACGATCATACACATTACTGGTGTAACGGCGACCCACTCAGTCCTCGAGAATACGAGGTCAGCCCACAGACGATGGTCGTCTCCACGAGCACTAGCCACAGCACTCGCAGCGTGCACTGAAGCGAGAAAATAAGCTTTAGATTGGCGAAAGGGTAGTGCAACATGGCAGCCCCAGTAGGCCAAGTCCCGATAAACAGGGGTAGCAAGTATTGGAATCCAATCCGCCAAGGAGTCCTCAGAATACACCTTATTGCCCCAAGACTATGTTCAAGAGGATTTCATTTGCAATCTCCGCCCCCAGTGTCCACCACACTGTCTATTTCCCGCAATTCAACCCCAGGAAAATCGTTGCATGCGCATAAAGGAGAAACCCAGATAGACAGGAGGTGAAGCAGAAAGAGAAAAAAAAGCAAATTAAACCCTCCTCAAGCCACGCAGCTTTGGCGACATGCATAGTCACCGCCACAACGCGGACTTCCCGCATACCAAGACGTCCGCCAAGCCAAAGAGCAAGCAAGCCACAAAAAGAAGGGAATAGACAAGTGAGAAGGAGAAGAAGAAGAAGAAAAGAGGGGGTTGAGGGAAAGAGAGACTCTGAGAAGAAAAGAAGAATAAGCGATATCGACGCGTCATCCTTAAGTTATCCACATCCAGAAAACAGGGTAACACGTCCTCCTGCTATCGATAAAAAAAATCGCGGAACCCCGGAGCAGAACCAACGCCGTTAATCATACGTCTCGTATTCGCCGGCCCCTAAATCGCCCTCGTATCGCGTAGTGGCGGGCGGCGGGAGAGAGTCGAACTAACCCAACGCCACGGACACGCGTAGCCTCGCGCCAAACCCCCCCCCCCC